AAAAGAGCTCAAGAAGATCCCCCCCCCCCCCCCCGCTTTTTTTCTTCATATTCTTTCCTCTTTAGAATGCTGAATGGGCTATTGTGATAGGTTTTTATACAAAGCACGGAATCAGTATTAGAAGTCACCAGTACAGAAAAAGCATGTAATATATCAAGGCAACCCTATTACTTTTTATTCACCAGGAATAGCTGATATGCATTATTGTCAGAGCTTTTTAAAAAGCATTACTTTTTAGGAGAGGTAGTTGCAGTATTGTGAGTCTGTGCTTGGGTGTACACAAGCAAATATCTATAATTGCTTGAATAATTGCCAAAACACCTGCCTAAAAAGAAAACTGAAAAGCTATATTCAATCTTTATTTAACTCTATTAATTCCAAATGAATTACACAAGAGAGAAAATTTGCCTTACATTCAGTTTATTCATTAAAAAGCAGCATGATGCATGATCAGCCTTTATGCACAATCCATAAACCTCATTCCAGAGCTTTTTGTAGTAGACAAGATAGAAAAACTCCAATGAGCCCAGTTTAAACAGATAACATATAGCTTTATTTTGACATGTGGTGAGATTACTGAGAAGAGTTGACTATGCATTGAAATGAAAATGCACACTGAAAAATAGTGTAAAAACATAAAAACAGGTAATGTTTGGCCTGAAATTAATAATTTGGACCATTTTTCAATAAAGCATTTGTAGTTTGCGACTTTTTTTTTTTTTTTTTTTTTTACTGTCTGTGCTTTGAAAAGCCCTCCACTATGCATTTAACGCACTGGTGTTCAAAGAAACTGTTTCCCCATGGTCTTATATAAAAGAAAAAGTAAAATGATAAAAATATTTATTAAAAAACCCACAGCATCTGTTTTGAAATATTGCTCTCTATTGGTAATGGAGTTCTCAATTATTAATATTTTCTCCCCCAAATTTAAATATTTGTTTCATTTCTGTAACTGTGAGATTGAAATGCCAGTCTGTTTTACATCATTATACAATGGCTTACTTTCAATCTTTAAATTCTATTTCTATCATTAAAAAATATCAAGCTAATAGATAATTTTTTTGATCCAGTCCACAAACATGGTGACTCGAACATACACTCCTGGTCGTTTGGGAAGTGCACACTCATAGCCAAATGATGTTACTCCAACCAAAAACCACTTGTTACCATCTTCAGATGTCAGAGGGCCACCTGAATCTCCCTGCAATATGAAATTCAAAAGTTAAAAGTGAACAGTGTCAACTCTGAAACAGAGCCTGTTTATGATGTTTTGTTCATGTTGATCCTTAATCATAGACATTGTATCCCTATACGTCTTGGGTACCGCAAGTGAGATCAATGTGAATTCTTCCATGTGGAAAAATTCTTGAGATAATCCATTTCCCTTTTTTCTTTCTTCTTTTTTTTTTGTTTTTTTGTTTTTTTGTTAAAGGTCGTGATCTTAAGCTCTGTTCAGTCTTTCAATAGAAGACTGGGTTTCAAATGATTTCTTTTGCTTATTACTTTTACGTTTAGCCCTTCATCTTTCACAAAGCCCGTGTAAACGCATAGGATTATTTTTTAGTTGAATCTATTCAGCCAAAATGCAGTTCTATTTTCGGTTACCCCAGAGTTTCTGCAATTTCAAATTTAGAGAAAAAGACGGCAAGATTGCCAGAAGAGGAGGTGTCCTTTTCTCACACCTCCTTCTCAATAGTTTAGCAAATGTAGCATTGCAATAGAGTGTGGGAGATGAAATTTGATTCATCCCACAACCTGAGTGAGGGATGAGTCAGCCATGGGTGTCTTGTTTTGATGAGGAAGAAAACAATGACTATTTTTCTTTATTGAGTTGGTTGAAGCAGTATTATTTTTGTCTTCTCACGGCCCTGTGAATGAAGCTTTATGGGAGAGTTCTGCAAGGACTCAGCTATTAAAATACTTCTGCCCATAACTCCAGGGCACCCGCAAACATTTAAAGGCTGTGACAGCAGCCTAAAGGCTGAAGCGCTATAAGGACTCACTTGTTTGTCTTTGCTTATGGTTGAATGGTCACTGATCACAATGCTGGTCACTTGCGCTCTGTATCAGCCTATGGTGCTACACGTCTTTTTTTCAGTATGAGGTTCAGAAGGCAAAAAAGGAAAGAGGGAAGCCACAGAGGATGAAGAAATGGCAAGTGAAATTAGGCTTGCATACACTCCTCCTTCTAGACTAGACTAGCCAAAGTCACTGCACCTGATGAAGGCATAGGTTGTGAGGGCAAGGCAAGAGCAATTATGTGAGCGTGCTCCTCAGCAGACTTGAGGAGAACCAGGCAGTCTCCATGCCATAAAGTACATATTGCTGGAAGAAAAATTATGTGACAGCCAACTCTGACTACATCCTCAAAGAGAAGCAGCGTGTTATAAGCAGAGCTGGAACAGATTGAAAACTAGATCCCCAGGAAGCAGCATATGAGATAATGCAGAAAGGGAACCTCTCGTAAATACTGTGACATCCACTTAAAAAAGGTCTCCACAGTCTACAGATTCTGGGGAAAAGCATCGTTGCTCTCCCTTTCCCTGCATAAAGCATTTCTGAGACTTCAATCTATTTGGTATTTATTTCTCTGTACTCTGCTTTTCCCTAAGCATGTCCCTCTTTCCTTCATGGAATTACTCACCAGTAATTACGCAAAGCTTAGAGCAGAAAATTTCCAATCCTCATATTTATCTCCCTCCATGGTTATTTATGTCAAGATGATCCAAAATAGATTTTTATCTTTTCAACTTGTACCCTGATAAAGTATTAAATGGGCAAAATACTGAGAGTAGAAATTACATTCACGGACAGTGATTGTCCTGGTTTTAATGACTGGAGGATCAGGGAGCATTTTATTCAGTAATCAGCTGTGGTGTATGCTAGCAGTGGAAATGAGTGGCTTGTATTTACCTGACAGGAATCTACTCCTCCTATGTCATATCCCGCACAGATCATATTCTCAGTAATACTATATTCTGGCATCCATTGTTGGCATTTTTCATTCGAAATGAGAGGGACCTCTGCTTCTTGCAATATATATGAAGTGGGACCTGATGGAAATACAAAGTACGTTTACCTGCTGTAATAAATATGTACATCCTGCTCAGAACACTGATGGTTTTGTTCCTGTTCCAGCATGCTGGGCATGCTACCAAGCAGCAGGAATCCCTGCCTCACTGCTGTACTATTCAGGCTTATACCACTGTAACACAGTCACTGATTAAATGGTGCTCATTAACTGAATCCTGTCTTTCATTTGTGTAATGGGACTGAATTTGTTTATAATTAAATCAAGATTACTAAAATCAATGACTATGAACTCACTTTGGGAGATCTAAGGGATAATTAGGGCTTAGGAGCTTGGATTGTCTGGTGTTTCCTCACTACTCGTTGTGTAACTTTGATTATTTCAAATTTTTATAAACATTTCCTATACTAATTTCTACCCAAAATTTTAAATGTAATTTTATTCTGAAAATGTAGAAGCAAATGCGTACAAGCAACTGTGGAAGTGAAATGACATGTTTATTATTTCACAGAGACTCCAAATCTGGAGCATATGATATACAAACAGAACATACATTTCACACTACAGTCAGTATGCTTGACTTCTGAGGAAAATCATCTGCACACTGTCAGGAAGACTAATCTTCCTCCTCCCCCACCCAATATATGGAAGTAAAATGTACATATTTCATGTTGAGAAAAGTAGTCATCATAACTTCTAAGGGGATGCAATAAGGTTTTTTCATAATTTAATGATCTTAGATATGTATATTTTTTCTAATAAATATGTTATAACTATTAGTTTGCTTTAGAAGAGGAACAGTGGAGGGGGATAGTTCCAAAATTTTCATATGGAGGAGTACCTCTCTAAACTATTTGACCGTAGTAACCCCTGTGGAATCAGGAGCAAGCTTTCCCTTATAGCTTCATGCCTGTTATAATTTTCCAAGCAGATGACCCACCTTTGTTCATAATACTACCCCAGCCAGCAATGGAGCAGTTAATTCCTGGTAAAAACTGTTGATTTTTTTCTGGTAAGCAGATAGGTTGTATGTAATCTGTGAATAAGAAACAAGCAATCAATTTCAACCTCTTCCCTGTATTCAGGTTTTTATGAAGTCACATAAGAAAATGTTCATTAATTCAAACCCACTTTTTGGGCAAGTTATCCAGGAAGTACTGGACTGACTACAGAATGATTAGCCTGTAAAAAATGTACAGCCACCCTGTCACCCTCATATGCTTAGCACAGTTAGAGTTTTGCATAATCGAGCAAATCTGCTTTATGGGAAAATAACAACTCACCTGTATATTGCACTTTGTATTGAAGGTGCATGAGAGCAATATCGCTATCTTTTGTACGCTTCATGTAATGAGGATTTATAACTATTTGATCGATGTTTTGAACTACTGTTGAAGGCTGTGTCATATCTGATTGGTCATACAAGCCAAGAACTGCTTTCCATTGAGACGGTTTTAATTGCCTCCTAGAAGTTGCAAAGAATATTCACAATTATGAATAATTAATGAATGTTTTGAAAAATATGTTAGGTAAAATGCTAATCTTTAACCTCATGGTAATTCATAGCATTTGCACATTTTGTCAAAATAAACAGAATGTAGCAGATGTGCTTACAATTCTGTGATAGTAATACTATCTTAAATATCCACACTATAGAAATATGTGCTTGATTTTTTATGTTAAGCTGATAATGCATTATTTATAAAGAATTAATCAGATAGTAGTGCAGAGGAGGAAATATAAATTAACTAAATTACTATGGCTTTTTAAACACTGTGAAGAATACTGCTGACTGCCCACCAGGCAATTAATATCAGTCACAGCTAGAAAATTATTATGGATTATCTAAAGAATAATAGGTCTAAAATGTTGCTGGAAATGCTGCAGCTCATAGACTGCATTTTTTAGATTTAGATTAATTTTTTAATCTAAATTGAAAAAGATATGCTAAAACAAAATATGACTTCATCTGCATTTTTTGCTGAGCTATGCATGCTGGTTTGAGGCTGTATTTAAGTTAGAGAACTTAATTATTTGCTATTTTTTAATTAACCAGTTCATAGTTTCAAAAATATGTTTTCAGCCTGATTGTTGGATTGAATTGGTTTCTGCTGTTCTTTTGGTCTGATGTCAAGAAGTTATCTTGTTCTAAACTAGGAGCGTTTAAGTTAAATGTTCAGAATTAAGGTGTGAAACTGGAAGCTCTCACTTAGGAAAATTCCAGCAAAGTCAAGATGATAAAATGAGATTTAAGTGAAAAAAGAAAGGTGATTTAAATGGAAAGGAAGTACCAAGACAGGTGTGGATTTATTCTGTGAAAAATAAAAGGGCTTGATCCTTCTCATTTCAGTGTCGTCGTGTGGAATATAGCTCCTGTCATGAAATGAGGCAGCGTTAATGTATTGGCATAGTATCCACTGCCTTACTACTTAGCTATTTATAAAGAAAGCTCTACTGCAATTTTGAATATTAATGTTTCTTTTTTTGCCATTCCTGTTTCTAGGTGTCTTCTACAGCACTTGTTTTTATTACAGATGTTATGGAAGCAAAACCTAGAAAATATTTAAATATGTATCACTTCTTTGAATGGTACAAATTACACCATCTACAGGATATCCAATATTGCCTAATCAATGCACATAAATCAAGATTCATTCCACTGATGCACAGTAAAACTTGATCAATCTATGACAATATACAGGAGGAACAGGCAACACTGGGTTTACCTTTATGAGGTATGATGTCATCCTTTATACCACTGGCAGAGATTCAACTAATTAATGGAGGCCCACATTAATTACGGGTTAAGTGCAAATGCTCAGTATTAATACCATATATTTAAAGTACAATTCTTCATTGTTCAGAAAATGCTGCTTCATTTCCATGATTCTCTGCTTTAAAGTAAGGACTGAGGGTTTACCAGAAGGTAATGGAGCCTTTAGCTGAGCCCACACGTGATTCAAAACACAGTTATTAAACTGTGAGCTAGTTGTTAAATTTATATATCAGTGTCACAAATTATTCGTAATCTGATGCCTCCTTAGTGAACCTGCACATAAAATAATGGTTTCATCATCATTAAAATAAAAAAGAAAAGGCATGGCATGAATGTCATATGGCCATCTCAGCTAGTTGGAAAGATGCCCCGGAGTCATTGGAGAGAAAGGGGCACTTGTGAATTTATATTAATTTCATTCTAAAGTAAACATCTAGAAACCCTCTAAAAAGTGCCACTCCCCAGTGATTTCAGTATGATCCTTTGAGAGTGTGTTTTGCTCTATACAGGATTGATTGATGGTTCAGGTCATACTTCAACCCAGCTTTACTGACAACTATCCACCATTTGGATACTTGCATGTTGTGGGACTATCAGAATGTGTTAGCTTGTGAGTGCAGTGAACATTACCCATATACACAGTGTGCTGCTGTCACCAGCCATTCATCACTGACAAGGGAAGCTCCACAAACAGGTCTGTAATTAAAATGGAGTGAAACTATCCAAGGCCAAGCCTCTCTCCTGGCATCACTTCCACCTACAATCCTTATTCCATTGTTCTGAGTTACCAGGTGTTTTCCACAAGCTAAAAAAAAAAAAAAAAAAAAAAAAAAAAAATTGTGGATTTTTAGAGGAATATAGCATGTTTTATTAGACTAGCTAATATTCTTGGAAAACCAGGCTTTGTAGTATCTGAACTGCTATTCAAAAATACTATTACTGTGGAAAAAACTTTGGCATTTTATAGGTGAAATCAAGATGAAACTTTATAACTTGGATTTAGATGTGTTATTTCCTCAGACCTTCTGGATTTTTTATATATGTGTTTTCAGTACAGACCCATCTCTAGTGTATACTTCACTCTGAAAACAAGTGAAGACTGTAAATTTTCCTGTGTTTATGACATTACAAATATGGCTTTTATAGTCCATTCCCTAACCTTTCAATTCAAACTATAAACATTAGGCTTTATTGACTGAACAATTTGATTTCTGTGTGAAATATTCCCAAGGTATGTGTACTTACGTTTAATGTTACATTGCAGATAAACCACCAGGTTGTTCAAACAGTGTTCTCTAGAATGAAAGTGCAATTAAATCACACTTATCTGCACACCAGGTAACACTAAATGACTGTCAAATATACATACATACATAACAGACACACACACATATATATAAATGTATGTAAGTATATATATACTTAAAGTACATTAGTTTATCAGTATTAAACTGTTAAATATAATATTATCCTACATGATTTAATTATATTTTAATTATAAAGATACAAAATTATATTATATATAATATTAAATGTACATATTCCTCTTCAATGGACACTTAATTGGTGTATGTTACAGAAATAAGAGTAGACTCCCCTTGTGGTTTAGGGAAATGAGTCATCTGTCTGTGACAGATTCTCAATAAAATTGTAACTGCATATGGTATTTTTTCTACCTTTTGAGATGTTTTCAATACCTTACCACTAGAGATCAGTGTGACCAAAGAATTTAAGAGGTTAGTTTGATAGCACTGTATCTTTTAACTAAGATTATAATGCACTGTAAAATATATAGCTGCATATACAGTGTTAGAAATTATTTAGCAGAGATACAAAGCCAGAGTCTGAAGAGCACAAAACTACTCAAGCATTTCTGATATCCAGAGGTTTTAAGATTATCTTCATAGCTTGTAATGAATCTAAACACTTGGGGCAGGTATGTGCTAGCAATTTAAATCTGATACACACAGAAATATATCAGAGAAAAAAAAGTGTGCCAATGGCTAGTTTACAGTATGCATTTCCACATCATTTTTAAACAGAAAAAGTGAAGGATACTTTAGACATGGTATGGTATTATGTATTCTTCACTATGTTTGCTCTAAAATTTGATATCTGTTGTGAGGGAAATGCATGACGTGACCCAGCATTTTCACGATGGCACAGTGGTGCAAGAAGGTCAGGTGGGAACTGTAACCACCCCCCTCATCTCCCCAGTTAAATCCTCACTACAGAGGGGCTAAGAATGAGATATGCCTCCAGCTCGGAACAGTCCCACAAGGCCATTTTCCACTTCAAGACAGGTGCATAATTTTAAAGTTGTAATATAAAAAGCGAAAACCGAATTCTGTAATTTGCATACAAATCTGTATTGACTTCATAAAGTTGTCCCTTGGTAGTGAGACAAACATCAAGGAGGACGACCAGAAATGTATAAACCCACAGGAAACCACTACCATCTTCTGCGTAAACTTCAGAGCAACTGAATACTCTTGACCAAGCTCCCTCCATAGGCTTTAAAAGGGTGGTCAGTGGTATTGTATATCAGCTCCTTCAGCCAATCCTATGCTTTCTCTTAGCTAGATGCATAAACCAGCCAAAATAACATCCAGCATGTAAGATTTGTCCCTATTTTGTTTTACACGGAAGCAAGGAGTTGCATGTAATGAGGGTCTTTGTCCCGCCACCAGTACTTACTGATACTTTAGTAGAAATTACTTCATGGGCCTCTGCTTTTTCTTCTTCTTGAAGCTAGCTCCCAGTATGAAAAACACTTCCTTGCCTGCACTTCAATTCACCAGTCCTCAGCTGCCTCTTGGTCAGCACAGCAGAGTCCAAAAGGCAACAGAGGCATAGCATGTGCTGAATACCTATCCTAAGCGCCTCTCTGAGTGTAATCTATGAAGCAGCATGCTAGGCAGAAATCTGGAGTAGCTGGGACGTCTGTGAGTATGATCTTCACTTAGGACTGGCAAAAGCAATTATGCCTGTGGAATCTGCTCACATATATCTTCAAGGCAGGATTTTGCCCTGTTACAAAGCTATCCTGCCAAGAAATACATTTCCTAAGGGCATCAGAGAACAGTTTTGCTATCTGTACCACCACAGCTTTCAATTCCTATTATATGTGCCCTCCTTTGCTTCAATGGTGGTTATGCTTGAATAAAGACCAAAGAGAATGTGAGAAATACATTTTATAATTTGATTACCAGTTAATGAATTTGGTTTTTTAATTATCAAATCTGTGTGATCTTTCTATCATTCATTATATGTACAAAAAAAGTGTGCATAGCTGTAATGGTGTCACCCTGTAAAATGATTCCTATCAGCTGACCAGATGAAACACGGTAGAAGATACCTATTTCTACAACAGAATTACAACTAAGATGAATGAACTTATTCCATTTCCTCCTGCATTAATCACTTTTATTGTTTAATAGATATTAACAGAAGACATCTTTAAATCATTACTGCTCTTTAAGATCTCTTGTGTCAATGCTGATTTAGACATCCACTCAAGAAAAAAAGAAAAATAGTTTGCAATGATATTCCATTAGTTTAAGATACTTTCACCACCAGTGAGAATGATAAATGTTTGGGATTAACAGAGTATAATTAGAACATAAAATGTATTTTTTTTTTTTTTTTACTATAGATAAAATACAGCATAGAAAATTAAGAATTCTCTCCTGCTTTGTTACTATGTGGTATGTTTATAAAGGAAACCTGAAAGAACATGGACCCTTGCCATCCTCAACATAGTTTCAGCATTTTAGCAATAAGACAGTAATTTTCTGCCTCAGCACTTTTGGTAGGATTCCAGAAAAATGTGTACAATAAGCCCTCTTATAAGCAGAAAGACAGTAATTGAAGTAATTGTATGTATTTTTTTATTTTATTTTATGATGGCAAGCCTTTCTCCTTTTGGAGGTGTACTGTAAATTCCAGAATTTCCTGAGTATATAATCCTGTGCTAACGTTACATTTTCATTTAATCTACAAGAAATCTGCCAGTTTGTAGGACCCTTCAGAATCACTTCAGCTGTTACTTGGACTGAGAAATATTAGAATATAATTGAATTTATTCCTAGGATCATCTCATCTAACGATTCACTTCTAAATGTGGACACAATCCAGAAGTCATTTTTGAGTGGGACTAATTTGTCTAAATATAGATACCTGTCTGTGGATTGCTTACCTTAGCAATCCACACTTAGTCCTAAGTCTGTGTCAATAAAGTAAATGGATTATAGAGTGCGACTCCTCATATTTCAAGAGTTGCCTTGATGGATCACAATTTGCAGTGCTTATTTTTCTCCATTGATTACAGAGAGAACCTAGTGTGATAACTACTATATAAACATGGGTGAATGCCAGTCCATTTTAATTCTTCTGCTATATTATATATCCATAATTCAGAGATTTCTAGATAAGAATTGTTTTGTAAAAATAGCAGTATTTATTGTTTTCACAGTAAATGTATAAAGATGTCACTTAAGATTGTACTGAATGTTAGCTAAAAATGTAGCAAGCATCTCTCTCCTTTTAAATTTACAATAGATGGACAAGAATGGAAGGGGGAAGAGTGAGTTGCCCAATGTTACACAGAATTCATCAGCAGACAGAGAATAAAACCTGGATATGTTTATAGTCCAGAACTCATACAGAATCATACCTCAGATAAACTTGAGCTAGAAATTAGTGTATAAATCCCCACCATACTTTAAGTTATCCTTTGTATGAGGAAGAAACCTCACTCTACCCACCTCTTTGTAAATATTAGGCTGTAGTTAGCTGCTTTGGTGATGTTGGCAAATGGGCCGTCTCCAGTGAATGATACAGTTGATGACATATTTGCATCCCTGGAAGGAAAAGATACACATGCATATTTTTAGATATTTATCCTGTTCCACCAGTGGAGGAATGTTTGGGAAATGATTATGCTGGTGGAATAAACTGCATCATTTTTTTTCCTGAAATAATGACTATTTATCAGGAGATTTTCGAGGCTTGAAACTCACATGGATTAAAATGCAACTCGCCTACTTTCACTCTTGCATCTTATTCTAAGATTTCTGATGCTACAATAATATTGAAATACAGAAATTAATTATTTTAGTAGCACTAAATTATCAATTTCTGCTTTTCTGTGCCACAGTGAAGGGTTTGCAGTACAAATTCTTAAATATACGGAGCTAAAACTTAGTATGCAAAATGGAACCGTAATAGATGAACCTTAGAATATCACAGGTTTGCTTTTGTTGGAGGGGGGTAATTATATTTGTACTATACTTCTGTGTCTAGAGAAGAAATGAAACTATATTTTATATCATAAAGAATCTAATGAAATAAATGCTACCTTTCTTAGAATTTAAGTTTCACCTTGTGTATCTGTTGAAATCAAAATAACTCTGGAATAAGTTAAGGGTGTCATGTTTGCTATTCAACAAGATAGTTCCTTTGAAGTAGGGTGTAATCCTTGACTAACTTTTTTTGTAAAAATGGCCTTTTGAACACCAAAAATTCTGTGTACTATTGGTGAGATAAATGGTTTTGATGTTTACAACCCATATCCAGATTTACTTTATAGCCCATTCTGCATCATATACTCTGTAATACTGCATATGACCAGCTTGGAACATACTCCCAAGTAACATATTTGCTTTCTCTTGAGGAAGCATGGAGAAAAAAGAAAGCTGTGGTCAGGCTACATAATTTTTTCTGAGGTGACAGCCTACTCCCATCTGACCCTTTAGCCATACAGATCTCAGGAGCAAGAAGAGAACCATTTGTGCAGGTTTAATACACAAGGAGCACCTCTATATCAAGGAAGTAGCATCTCTTCTCTTCAAGTGCAGTAAATCTCATTCTCCTGGGAAGTAAGAGGTGTAGAATCTGCTTGTCAATCTGCTGTGTATGGAGAGTAAGACAAGGCATAGGAGAATGGAGAGGTTAAATAGCCCTGCTGTGCCACTAGGAGAGCTGTATGACCCACCCTACTGAAAAAGTCATTACTGAAGCATTTCTTAATCTCGAAATGACAAAGCCCACTTAATTCTGTCTCTAGATATATAGATATATGTAGAGTGTTTGTACACTCTAGCCTAGTGTACAGACTTTTTCAATATAAAACACTAATATACTAATATGTACTTCAGAGATTACCCCAGAACCCTGACCTGACCTTTTAGACAGTCCGGGAGAGTAGTAAAGTGCCAACCCAGCTAGGTTGAGTCAAATTCTATGATGAGGAACTTCGTTGAGACTGGTCTAATCACTGAGCTATGATAAGTGCAAACGTGTGAAAAAGGCACTAAGTTATTTCTTGAGAAAGTTAGTAAGCAGGAGCTCTTACCAATGTGTCCTGGTTTCAGCTGGGACAGAGTTAATTGTCTTCCTAGTAGCTGGTATAGTGCTATGTTTTTGAGTTAGGTATGAGAAAAATGTTGGTAACACACTGGTGTTTTCAGTTCTTGCGAAGTAATGTTTAGTCTAAAGTCCAGGATTTTTCAGCTTCTGATGCCCAGGCAGCAAGAAAGCTGGAGGGGCACAAGAAGTTGGGAGGGGACACAGCCAGGGCAGCTGATCTAAAGTGGCCAACAGGGGATTCCATACCATGTGACATCACATCTAGTATATAAACTGGGAGGAGTGGGGGTGGGCGGATTGCCGCTCAGGGACTAACTGGGCATCGATCGGTGGGTGGTGAGCAATTGCACTGTGCATCACTTGTATATTCCAATCCTTTTATCATGACTGTTGTCATTTTATTAGTGTTATCATTATTATTATTAATTTCTTCTTTTTATATTCTATTAAACCATTCTTATCTCAACCCACAAGTTTTACTTCTTTTCCTAATTTTCTCCCCTATCCCACTGGGTGTAGGGGGAATTGAGTGAGCGGCTGTGTGGTTCTTAGTTGATGGCTGGGGTTAAACCACAACACAATGTAAAAAATGAACATGCTACCAGGAAAAGTTTAGTGTATGTGCATTTATGAATATTACTGGCTTACATTTTCCATGCACATTATACCAGGAAAACAGAATGCATATGTGTTTTATGAGATTACTGTGAGACACCCTGTAATAGGGCAAACACTATAAACCTTCCAAGTCACACCTTCCACCAACCTCATAATACTTGTGAAGATCTCTCATCTCACCTCAGTATCTTTCTCAGTCTTTTTCAGCAAAGACTGAGCAAACTATTTCCCACTCTTCTGTTTCCTTTTTTTTTTTAATAAATGCTGAAATTTCTGGATTACAGTTTGGAACTTCTCTGAGCTTCTCTGTAATCACAGGGGCTTTATTAAGCTTCCCCAGCTTTTTGAAATAAAATCTAAGCCCTTTTTTGAGAAAACTTGATAATTTCATTTGGTTTCTTAGCGCACTGAAGCACACACAACTGGAAATGTCTAAGCTTTATGAGTGATGTCAAAAATCAATCTGCTACTCTTTTAATTAACTTATTGGTAAATGATGAGGGTTAAGCATTTCTGTAAGTATAATAAATCATACACTTTTCCTCCAGATACTCAGTTTAGTAACAAGAATATAGTTTGTTCTGCAGGTCCAGAAACTCAGTGTCATAGTTCTTTAATTTCTGTTAATGAAAATGATCTTTCAGAAATCTTGCAGGCTGTGACAAAAATGGCCTTTAAAAGGCTAATCTAGATGTTAAATAGCCCTTATTCCATTCAACATGCTCACTAGGCAAAACTTACAGAAAACTTAGAGAATAGTCTTACAAGTTTTTTTTACACACAGATGTACAGAGATATCTGTGCAGTGAATTCCTCAGATATTATTGGTCCTCACGTACCTAAATACTCTATGGATCATGATGATTTCAGTGTCTAACTCTGTCTGACGTGCTCAGTAACAATGAGCAGTAGCAAATGTTGGGAAAGATTTACATGATGTGGTACTAGCTGAAAAAAATATTCAGAATAAGGATAGAAGTGCAATTGTCCAATAGCTACAATTCTTTTCCTTGTTTAAAAAAAGAAAACAACCAAAGCAGTTTTTATTTGAAGAAAATATGTTCACACATTTTGTAATTCATTGTTTAGTTCTCAGGCTGTGGGATGTCTGCAGTTTGTTTAATTTGTGTTTAAGACACAGGGCAGTGTTTCTGTTTCACCTGCTGATTTTCTGACAGAAAAACAATGAAGAATAGTAGCAAATTACAAATAGCGAACACTTTCTTTGGCATAAAAAAGCTTTGTTCACATGTGGATTCATATGAAGATCAGCTGTTTTCTAAATGCTTGCATACACACAATTTTTTATACGAAAATTTGCAAATGATAAATAAACATAACCTCTCTATACTTTCTGGACTTGAAATGAAGCTTCTTAAGCAATGAGTTTAATCTGAGCTTACTAGCAGTGTCTGATCCTAAGTGAAGCTGTGGACCTACAAATCCCCCCCAAAATTATTGAAAGTCCTCCTGCAGCTGCCACATCAAAGTGCACGTTATTACTTGGTGACAACTGACATGAAATTAAGTCTATTGCCAAGTTATTAGGACTGTCCTAATTCTGGTCCTCAATGCTGTAAATGCAGCCTGAACACATCAAGAAACAAGTTCTGTCTTATATCCAGCACATGACTCTCATTGGCTCTACAGCAGAGTAAGATCATGCTGTATATCATGTTTATTATCCTAATTTATCTATCAGAATAAAAATTTTGGGTGCATAAATTTTGGGGGATCATTTCCACCCCTTTCAGGCCATATGTTATATTCTTGGCACACTAGAGAACCTGGATCTGACAGTCAAAGACAGGATTTTCTGACACACCTCAAGCAACTAGGCATGTAGCTACTACTGACCATTCATAAGTGGGGAGGATGAAAACCTAATTGACCTGAAAATCCCAAACAAGACATTGTATTCCAATGAAATAATTTATTTCTCAAGAATTTTGTGAGTTCATGAAGAAAACAGACTGCAGGGTTGAGAGCAAGGCCTAAACTCTCAGTCCTTATTGGACTTTTGAGCATGGCAAAATTGCCAGGTGTACCCTCATTCCTGGATACAATTCAGTAAAGATGCAGCTGGCTCTGGCTCCAGAGAAATAAGCATGTTTCACACCTAACCAGCAGAATGGTGAAAAGCTCAATGTATGATTTTGTTGGTTCAAGGAAAATTGATGTACCAATACTCAGATTTTAACAGTGTTGCCAAATGTACACAATTACAAGTACAAGCTGAGCAAAGGATCTCGTTCAAGTTTCTCAAGAGCACCAATTTGTGCACCTTACACTCCAGACTCATTAAGAATATTTGTAAATGGTTACCTAGCTTGTATTTTGTAGATGAACACATAGGCACGCCTCCAGATTTGCTTCCTGTTTGGCACATATCACAAATGCGACAGTCACATATTTGAAAAATGGAGGCAAAAGGATTCATGTATGTGATTTATTAGAATCTGTGTGGAAAATTGCACTTTCTAGCCCAGCTACATAAATAATCAGGATATGCTACAAGACTCCTATCATTTCAGTCCTTTCATAAATTAAACAGTAAATGAGACTAGCAAATGTATAAGCAATTAACAGCAAAAATAAATTGTCCTAGATGAACCTTAGCCTCTTTCTCTAATAAAGCATGATTCTAGGTAATTATTCAGTATAGGAGCATGAGCTATAGCCTGCTCAAGACCTGTTATTACAAACATCCATTTAGTAACAAATGTGCTGCCGCTTATTAACAAATATGCTGCTACAGGTGGGTTTGTGGAAGGCAGAAATAGTGTGATGATTACAGGAGTTATATATAAGTATATACATGAGAATTTTATCCTTTTCTGTAGGATCAGTAACAGCAGTAGCACCCAGGATACGAGAATGTGATGCAATTTAGGTTAACAAATACTTTTTCTTGAAAATGGGAATAAGTAATAAACTGAGAAATTGAATTAAAAAGAATTAAATAGGAAACTTAATAGGAGTTTTTTTAACAAGTATATTTGACTAGTTTATAGAGACAGACTGGAATGTATTGCCACAGAATGTTATGTAGACAAATGCATAAGTAATTTTTAAAAGGTAATAGAAAATACCATGGAAAACAAAGTTCACTGAAACCTTTCAAATATAAAAAAGTAAATTAAACCAGTAGACCACAAAGTGACTGGTGTCCAGAAGTTATAGAGGAAAAGGAGGTGGGGGACGGGGAGAAAGAATCAGAGGAAGAAGGCTACTGGCCACTGTAAAGGACAAAGTAATTGACTAGAAGAACCTTTAGTCATAGTTTGTGTGTTCTTATAGGCATGCATAAATGAGGTAATTACATACATAAATTACAATCAGGAATTGTGCATGCAGGTATCTGATACTTATGTAAATGCAGTAACTACCCAAAGGGAAAAAGTAAAAAACCAAACCAGCGCACATTCATCCAATGTTTACAAGTATTTTCAAATAACACTTGGATATTTCTCCAAGCCCTCCTAACTCTGTGATTTCTACAATTAATTTATCAGAAGGTCATTTGCAGTCATCCTACTTTGGTCAGAGACCAACATAATGAATTGCAAGCTTAGAATTTAATTTTATTATTACTTGGATGAATGACATTCCCTAAAAACCTCAGCACTGTAGGAAAGCTATTTATTATTCAGTGGATGGCAGTGAAGTTGCAAACAGTGTAAGGCCAGAATTTAGGCCACAAATTTTGCCATAGATTGAAAAATACAGCACTTCTGCTCTCAACCCTCCTCACCTTTTCCATGGAAATTCTGCTGAACAATGACTGAAGCCAAATCTACTTTTTTCAGTCATACACTTCCCTCCTTCCTCCACTCTCTAAGTATACCTCAAGAGGAATAGTTTCCTCTCCCAACAGCTCAGGTCTAATGACAGGTATGACATGTATTGGGAGCCCAATAGCAGAATACCCAAGTGATTATCCTGAATTTACTTGAAATGAACATTAGCATGATAGATAGCAGAGCAGCCAAGGCTGCTGTTTGTTCCGGTTTTACTCTTGAGCCATCCTCATAAAAGTGAAGACATAAATGACTACGTAAGTGATAAAAGACTAATACCTCCACATCAGTCTCCCAATGTTCTTCAATATGTACCCACATGCCTAATCTGCCATATTCAGGGTCATCAGTCCTGTAATGAATGCCATCAAAACAGGGTTTGCAACACTTACAAATTAGTTGGCACGAGAAGCACTTCACTTGCCACAGAAAAATACATTCGCCCTTTTTTTGGATGGTAACGACACCAGTAAAATGATGAAGAAAACACCAATATACAGAGTCAACAAACCTGCAAACAAGTTACAAGGACAATGAATATTTTTCACTCACCCTAACCCCAGCAGCTGGCAAACACTGTCTGAAATCTGTTTATTCCAATCATCTGCACAAGCCAGATGCCACGTCTTCCCAATCCTGGCCTGTACCAGCCCTTCAGTGCTTAGAGAACCATTAAACAATCTCACTGTAGACCAAAATGGACAGAAGCACTTTAGATAGGTGGTAACACCCCTCCCCCCCCCCGCAGCCCCAAGCAAATAGAAATGTAAAATAAGCAGATTTATTGTTGCCAGCAAAGAACAAAACCCCAAAGTTAAATATGTTACAGTGGTAATAAACACAGCATCTCCGGGATGTTGCATTCCCACAGGAAGGAAATGTTATTGTTATATCCTTCTATGTTTCTGCCACGGGAGAGTTTCACACCCTGTATTTTGCAAATGTCTCACAAATAGAGAATAAACAGCACATTTTCCATCAACTCTAACCAATATTTTTTCTTAGCCACCATTATGTAATTTCCAGATACTGTGTGAAGCTTTAGCTACATGATGTTCAGTAACACTGATTGGAAATAAGGTTAAAACCAAAGCTGACGGAAAAATTGGATTTTCCAGTTCAAATTGCCGTGAGAATTTTCACTGTTTTCATTGCAGCTTTAGTTAAAAAGCACACACAAATAATAAAAGCTCCCCGAAAACCAATCTATCAAAAGTTTTCCCAAAACAAAATATTCAGAACAAAAATTCAGAAACACGTTAAGTATTTGGAGAAAAATCTTATGCTATTGGCATAATGACTAAGGAAGTTGGACCATAAGGTTTAAGAAGGTCAGCAGAATCCCATATACGTCCCAGGAGCTACAGCTATGTGTCGGGAAGATGACAATTACTGCCAGCATGAAGTAGTGAAAAAACATACAATGCATTTGAAATTTACTGGTTGCCAAAATATATTTTTTTTAATTCTTAGTTGTCCAGAAAACCTTCTTCCACCAAAGTATTTCCACAAAAATGTAAAGTTTACGCACTACAGTAAAAAAAAATTTTTTAAAAAATTAGATTTTTAGGAATGTGTCTTTGACACCCAGAGTGCATGGATGAAAGAAGTGATACACAGCGATTAATTAATGGTAAACGTCAGTCATGAGAAATTTTCGACCAGTCTTGAAAAATCTCACATTTGTTTGCACTGCGAGATTTCTCCAAATTACTTTTGATACCTCTCCTCTCTTCTACTTGAACTATAATTCCTTTTCCTTTCTGCTCATCAGATCCATGTTCTTCTCCAAATACATTGTTGGTAAGGAATAAGAAAGTCATTGAGCACTCAACAACTGCTTAATTCAAATGTCATATATTTCAGAATTCTGCAAAGGCAGAGGTATTTTATGCTTTTTCTTTGCAGTCCCTGGGAAGTTTCAGAAGTTGGAGTATTTGAAAATGACAATTTGTCTAGTTCAAATTGCCACTTCTGATAAGAAATTGAAATTGGTTTCAGGAAAATGAGCAAGATTTTGGACACTGAAAAGACTCAATGTGAGGGTGTCTAACTGAATTTTTATTTTATTTTAAGGCTTAGATTGATTCAGCCAATGTTTGGATTAAATGGGTTTTTGGAAACAGTTCTCACAGTCCTTTGATGTGAAGTAATTTGTTATGAAGTAATAGACAATCTATGGCAAAATAACTCTTTGGAAAAATGTACATCATGTTAAGGTAGGTGATGGCTATCTTGTTCAGATCTTCTTTAGCAATGAAAAACCCATTCAAGTCCTCTTTGCCGAAGAAGCAGCTGGAGTGAATTTTATTCTATGCATTTTGAAGGAAGAATATGTTTGCAACAGAACAGCTAATTGCACTAACATGAAGAGTGAATCTGTGCCTTCAGACATATATATATGTATACATATATATGCCATATATACGAAAAAATATATATGTATGCATGTAAAAGATGTTGAAATCAATAAGAACTATCAGCACACATCCAAGGATATATCTGATCTCTAGCAGTCCCCTTTAAAACAAAGGTAGATGATGTTGTACTGAACTTAAAAGCCCACTTTTAACTCTTCCACCAGTGCTTCATAATAGATTGTCAGAACAGCATTTTATCAGAAACAGCAATTTAATATCTGTGCTAGGCCCAATGCGATTTTAACATCAGTTTTACATTTAAATTATTGTTTAGAGAATGCTATTTCCATATTTCGTGAAATGAAGCCATATACTGTACACCTACATTTTAAAAAGAACCATTTTACCAGAGGACTAAGCAATAGCAGTTGTTGGTCTCCTTGTAGGAACATGCACATCCACTACGAGCAACGGATGCTGCTTTTGCAGCTGTGCCATCCCTTCACCCTACGGCAATGCCTCCACAAGATGGAGTCCAGGCAGGCTGGAGAGTGTCACGTGCTGCAGTTTGGCATCACACCCACAAGACTATCTGGGAATTTCCGTCAAGAAGACTCATTCTCTACCTTACTCTGCAGAATTTATACTGACTGCTGTGAAACTCAAATTAATTACACACAAAGTGATAGAATTTGGATATACAAAATGAATACAGAAGAAAAGCATGTAATGAATTTTCGTTTAATTTTGAGGCCATTATAAGGAGCCATAGTTTTAAGCACAGAGGAACTTCCTACCTTCTCCAGAGATCTTCACCAGCTTCCATACACCATCTCAGAAAAGTGACTTTGTTTTTTTGGCCCTGACAAACTCAACAAGATACTGCTGTGTAAATTGGCCTGGCCTGCATACAGCTGCAGTAGTTTATGCTAGCTGAGTTTTTGTGGGTGTTTTCCTAGGTGATTCCTACCAAATATGCATGCATTCCTTCTCTTTGTATGAAGGAAACCTTACTGCACTTTGCTTCATCAGAGCCATCTTCACACTGAGGTACGTTGTCACAAAGATTATGCAATGGTATACAATCCCCGCTACCACACTGATGTTCATCAATTGCACAAGCTCCTGAAGGAAAACATGAAAGCAAAATTAATCTGTAATTACGAGGAATATTGATGTTCACTAGAGATCATATAGTTCACCTGAAATAATAACTGAGTGGACTGTATGCAGAACCTCTCCTCTCCTCTCCTCTCCTCTCCCTGTTCCTTTCTCCTTTCTCCTTTCCGTTCTCCTTTCTCCTTTCCTTTCTCCTTTCTCCTTTCTCCTGTCCTTTCCCCTTTCTCCTCTCCTTTCCTTTCTCCTTTCCTTTCTCCTTTCCATCCCATTTTCAAAATACAGATTATTTTCAGAATAGGAGCTAATTAAAAATAAAATCTATGGAATTATACCTTGCAGTTTCTGCTATAGTTAGCATTGCTCAGTTACTGGTGTTCTTCGCTGTCAAAAGTGACTAATGATTTCAAGTTTCAGATGTTCAGCACTTTCACAAAAGTTTAGAGACCTTAATGTCAAGTCAAACATACAAGTAAAAAGGCACTGAAAGCCAAGAGTCTCCTTTTGAAACCTGTCTGGGAGGAAAGGTAGCAGAGACAAAAGTAACAGAAATGAATGAGGAAAGCATTTACAAAAGTAGGATTAAGCTACTCCAGTATCAGTTATGTAACAAAAGCAGATCAGATAGAGAGTAAATATAAAGTGATAATTCTTTCTATGGCCAAAGTGTATTTTTAATAGCACCATTTAATATATTTACAGGAAATATACAGTCATAAACTTAAATTCTATTGAAAAATTGTTTTTTTCTTTATTTTACCTTCCTGGACTTACTGACTGAAACATTTAATTATCTAGAAGTCCTATTTAAGTTAAGATAATTGTTTTTGCTTCTGAATTTTTAATATTCGTATGAAATGATTCAATCATCAGTCAGTATGGCCTGTTGTACAGTATGAAAGCTAAAGAATATGGTTTATAAAGGCCTGAACCAGATTTTCACACATTCAGTGGCCATAACTGATGCCAGATTTTCCATAGAACTTAGGTCTCACTTAGGTTTTTTATTATATTGCATACTGCCCCAAAGTATTTATTTTCAAATTATGCTTCCTTTTCAAAAACTCAGTATTTCATGGAAAAATAAAATACAAAGAAAAAACTGCTTTTCTTGTAAAATTAATTTATTTACTGACAATGCTTTTATCTTTGGGCCTGCATGCTGATGATATTAGCTCTGTCCTTTGCCTGCAAAGATAATGAATAAGCATAATTCTTTTGCAAAAGGAACCTTTTTAATATATTTAACCACAACTGGCAATGGCCACTTTGAGAACTCTGCCTTGCTAAGCTTAATTTTTATTTTACAACAAAATACAGGCAAAGTTGGCTCAGCAAAGATGCTGAACCAGCTGAAAAAAAGGCATAGTGTTGGACTGAACAAATGTGATAGAGAAGGCAGAACAAGAAACAGAAAAATGGTGATGTGTCCATATAAACCTACCTCTCAGTCTTGGATGACAGGACTAAAAGGAGTTGATTTTACGAAGGTAATCAATGGCTAAGATTCTTTTAAAGATTAAGAAAATAAATGTTTTTATTACTGTTAATCTATAAAAAAGCTGCAGCTAGCTAAACATGCTGGGAGACACTTGCCTTTTATGATATTTGAAGTAAGAAAAGGAGCATAGATTCTTGTTGAATTTCTGTTTATGTAAATGAATGGTACTTCACACATCTCTGAATATATACTGCTTTTTCTTTCTCTTTTTTTCTGCTGTCAGACTTTCACAGAAGTAATACAAAGCCTCTAATTAATTCTATCAAGTATTTGTCCTGGTAAACATATTGCTGTTCCATGTACTTTAGCATTTGGCTCCATATTGCATATTTTTGGAGAGCTGATTGCTGAATTACGTATGAGTGACAAGTCTAATTACAGTCCCCAACAAACCCAGGAGTCTTTTAGAAGGGGACTGGCTGGGACCAGAAACACCACTGTCCAGATATTTAAAAGACTAACTCTTCCCAGATCCTTCACTCAGTAAGGACCAAATTTTTAAAGATGCAAGAAGGACCGTATTGCAAACATTAATCAGAGTTACTGTATACACTTTTCTCTTCTAGTGGATGTGATTGATAATAAATATTTTACAAACGCATTTAAACACTCATTAATGACACCCTCAAATGAGTCACAAAGTGATGTTCTTTTCTGGGGCTTGTATAGGGAATAGTTTGCATTTGCCCTCTTAACATTTGAATAGTTTTTGGTCAAAATACTGAGTCAGTTTTTCACATAATATCACGCAGAGTTGCGGATGATACAGACATTGGTCCAATTACACTAAAACAACAAAAATTTCACTTTTCATGCTAGAAAACATAAAATACAGATGGGTAACTGCTAGGCTTTTTCTCTTCAAGTTTTTCATATTTCTGTTGATCAAGGGCTGAGATTCATCTTCCACTCTCCACTTTTTCTCAAATGTATTTGACCAGTTGTATAACCTCTTAAATACAAGGGTTCATAAGCTTACCTAGATGGTATCCAGTAGTAAAGTTTGCAAGAAATCCTTTCTTTGTTGCAGACTTGTCTGTAAGGAGGATTACTGTCATCTGGTTTGTTGTAGAGAAGACATCTGGCAATGGCCCTTGTCCTGTATAGACAGCTATTCTCCAGGAGAACATGAACAAATTTAAGCTATTTTGTTCTTATGTGTTTCAAAATGCTTTGGGTTCAAAAGCAAATACTGCTACCAGATGAATACAGTTATTCCCCCAAATCTAACTGCTGTCAGACTGCAATGATCAAGGCGCAATCCCAAATTTGACAGATCAGTATAGAAAAATAAGGTTTGACTAAGAGATTATGCTTCTGTTTGTCTACGTACATGAGCAGTCTTATTGATTGGAAGTTAATTTCGTTTGGATTGCATAGAAATTTGAGCGTGTGCAAACATTTAGGAAATGTGATGTCACATACAGTATGCTTTCTCAAGCATGCTTTCCTCCTAATTTCTGAGACCCCAAAATGTGAAGAAATGTAGAATGAAATTAGAGTGAATTAATTTCCTTTATATTATATCCATCAGTTTGCTCCAGCTGTCTGATTACATTCATTTTTGTATCCAATGCTGTTACTTGCCCAAAAGTAAGGAATTTGGTCCTCTGCCATCTCTGACTTCAACTACATCATGAATATTTTCCAGATCAAAAACCTGAAAATGAAGTTGAATGTTTTTTCCCTTTTCAGCATTTAAGTACCACACGCCTAGAAAATAATAACACACACACAGAAAAAATCACATTTTTAGTTGTTACATTTACTGTCTTTTTCATGTTGAAAGTTTCTGGGGAAAAAAAAGAATTTCTTCTAAACTATTAAGAATCACCCAAGAGACTTAGAAGTCTATATCTTATCTTTAAAAGCACTTTATGCTGTCAAGATTCCAAATTCAATTGACTCTCATTCTCTAAAAAACTTTTGAAAACTGGATTTAGGCTCCAAAGAAATACACATGTGCATTTTTTACCATTCATGACAACAGTGAGTTTCCCTGAATTAGCAAAGCTAATTCTTGTGTAACTGAAAATGTGACAAATAGTCTTGTCACTTAAGTCTTATTTGACAGTAAGATAATTTCTATTATCAGTCACAGAGGCCTGTCTTTCAAGTTAGAAATCTTTTTAGAGAAGTATTTGCTTCTGTTTACCCTATGCTTTATGAAATTTAATCTATGTAATTGTGGATACTATGGAAAACTTATAAAGAAAGTAAAAAAAACCCCAACCATTTTTTAATCTGTTCATAGAATGAAAAGTATTTTCTCCCTAGTATGAATCTCATTTGGGAGCTTGTGAAGTTAATACCTGGAAATGAGAGCCGTATCTCAAGTGGGACAGAAGCACAAAATTACAACTCTTGTGATTAGCATCCCAACACAATTCTCCAGTTAAAGGTGAAGTAATAAATAATTAAAAATTCATTAAGAAGCAATGACAGAGTTCTCTTCCTTGCTTCATCCATCAACAGCACATAGTGGACCATGTTGAAACATTTTCACTTTTACCAGCTGTAGCTTAATCTAAATCAAGTAACATCAGTAGAATAATGATGTCTTTTCACTAATGTGTAAGAAACATTCGATAAAGAGAGGATCCCCTGCAAAATGCATACACACATTCTTTTCCCCTAGAAAAGGTTAACCATTTAACAGAAGAGATGATGATATTAACCTGGTAAATACATTGAGGTGTAATGGTAAAATGGGGACTTTCAGCACCTTATCTGTTGTTGCATTGACATAAAGATATTTGACATAATAGGCATGATGGCATTGGCTGGTCTGAACCCATTCCAAGGTATTATGCTTATCTTTGTCACTTTTTAATCAACTGGCACATGATTCCTTTGCTTCTGCTAAGTGCCATATAAACTTCAGTTAAAAGATCCCACTGTATATGGCTTAGATCTTTTTTGCTTGAAAGCATCTGACTTGGGAAAGCAGATTTAGTATCGTTAATTTTATATGGCTGAATTTTTCCTGAAGACTTGGAAAAGAATGACTTACAAAAGGCTTGATTAGGGTAATTGTTTGGAAAGTTTTCAGAGCTGAATGTACTGGATGGCTCCCAGAGTTCAACTGGCCCTCCACAGTCAGCTGAAAAAGAAAATATTTCAAAAACATAATTAACCTATTGTCTTACTTTTACAATCCACTGTAACAAAGATAATTTGGAAAAAGTAATTTTATGAAGAGGATATTCAAGTTAAATTCATCACTGTAAAGGTTCAGTTACAGTGCCATTCGTATAGAGCTTGAACAATGAGTTGTGAGAAACCAACACTCCAGTGATGACACAGAGCATTGAGGAAACAAGGTGTGTAAGAAATTCACTTTTCTTATTAGTTACAGTGTCTAAGTCAGACCTGGTGGCACATACAATTGATGCCCTAGTGTTATCTACAACTATAGTTCATATATTGCCGTTTGTGAAGTGTTAGTGCTCAGGTGCACAACGTATTCATGATGCTCCTATGAGAAGTCTTCCCCATGTAGTGAGGGGAAGGACAAGTCTGTGCTTCATTTGGTGATTATTGGTCTGCACAGAAAATATGAAGAAAAGAATGTGATACGGTCAACTGTATAATTTACATTAATATAAAAGCTAGAAAATGTCAAAGAAAGAGAGGAAAGCCCCCCCCCCCCCGCCCTGTGTAACCTATTTATACACTTAGCTTGTATGTCTCGCTTATTATCTGGTTGATCTTCTTGCAACATTAGCAGAGATACTCAAGTATAAAGCCCATTTTGTCATCTAGCAAATAAAATTTATAATAAAAAATCCCTTATACTGTTATTTTGGTTTCATCAGGACCCTAAAAACTTTTACAGTTAAACCCTGTGAATGGTAAAAGTAGCCATTTGCTTTTTCCTTGAAACAACTGCTCCAGTAAGAAAGATCTTTATCATAATCACGTATATGCACTTATATCTAAAAATGAATAAAATTTATTTAAAAGCAAATATTGTAGATATGTATATATACACATACATGCACTCACACAGACATAGCTAACTGTACTTTATATATTCAATATTCTCTTTCAATATATAGTTTAGTAGTGGTTTATATCCAATATGTCTGCTTCATATTCCAAAACATTACTTCATATTAAGAAATATTATTTGTTTTCATTTCAGCTGTACCATCAGAATGAACTTTGGTGTTTTCCCACTACTGTTGTTTGCAATTATCCAAAAATAAACAGTACTCCTCCACCTACTTCAGGAAATAGAAGTTAAGGCAGAAGAAATCTACCTTTTTTATTTTGTTTTGTTTTTGTTTTATTCTTCAAATTAAAATGGATTTTTTTTTAACTTTCAGACTTTGGCTAAACTTTAACACTCTCCCCCCCACCTCCCGGCTCAAATTTTGCGTTTCATTATGTCTGCCACTATTGCATACTCTGAGGCACTTGGCTGGAGACTGCAAAATCTACAAGTCCTACTGAGTTTGCCCATTGAATCCCACTGGTAGGAAGCTCCACTAAATCCAAGAAAGATTTGAACTTTCTCACTACAGCCATCTTATAGAACTTTCTATTTCACCAAATCACTCCTGGCAATAAAAGCCAAACTGATCTGATCTGGTGTTGACTGTGTAAGGCACATTAGTAATGATCTTTCTCTTGCATGGAGAAATGAGTAATTGATTTTACTCATGTCTGGAAAAAATGTTTTAAAAATTTCCAATGATCTTTAAACACAAATTTATATGGAGTTATTGGTATAGCTCTCACTTGTTAGAGAACCAAATAACAACCAGCACCAATAATCTTGGTCCTTTCATTGAGCATAATAGATGATTTTCTCAACACTATAGAAAATTATATATGACCTATTCATAAAAAAATTCCTCTGTGCTTTGGCCAAAACTTTAATTTATATTGACATGCATATCTTAAGTGTGGAATCTACACTATAATTTCCACACTGTTGTTTGTGTTAAAAGACAGGTTATAAATTAATATGAAGATGAAAGCAATCTTTGTTTTAGATGAAAGTGTAAGATGACAGTGTTGTGCAAAAGACAAAAGCAAATCCAGCTTCCCTATCCCACCACCATTTTTTTTTTACTTTCCAGTGAGCTTTTCTGGCACCGTGAATGATCCCAGTGCCTCTTACTGAAGCTCTAAGTTGAGCAAAAGAAATTGGCTCCACTCAGATTCTTTCATCTCTCGTTTATAGACATGACATTTGTAGTGAAACCATTAGTGTTAGTAAGCTTGCACCACATCCATCAAAGTAATTTCATACTTCTCTGAAGATGATTGATAACATTCACTTTTTTTCAGCAGGTTACAGATAGCATATACACAGCATGCCTCAACAAAGTTATGCAAAAAAGTTAGTTTTTCCACAGCGACAGCTTAGGCTGTTCTTTTGTATCATATTGAAGGACAGTATGGATCCTCTCTAATCTGTTTCATAAGGAGTCATATGTCATATGGCCACTTCCTTTTTTTGAATATTAAAACTTCATCACCATATTTTGGGTAGAGATCTATAGAGTAAATGACATTTCTTTGGTGTTTTGACAGCACCACTCAGCTACTATGTACCACAGGGTTGTTCTACCACTGTCATTAGACTGATGCTAACTTGTGAGGTGTGTTGACCCACAGCACCTGAAAGAAAGCTGGAGATGGCAGACATTGGCACCTCTCCACGGTATTACTTTAATGAAAACTGCAGTCAAATTCCAAAACTCACTTTGGTAAATCATGACTGAAATTACTAGTGTTATTAAAATTTAATTTTGCTGAGAGAGACATCTTGTTGAACTTTACTTCCTTGTGTCTCAGGATGGAGCTCTCAAACTGAATTTTGCTCTTATTTTCAGGTTTTGTTTTCTTACCTGTCCTGATGCAGTAGATTTAGTGGTGATAGTTTTGATAGAATGACAATATTAGTGCACAGTGCTTGCACACATGCAAACAGGTTTGATTATTTTATTTTTAGACTATTTTTATTTACTATATGCTGTCAAGAGAGCAACTAGCTCTGCTTTGTAAGTGACAGTAAATCTGATAGGAGGCAGTGCTGGAACATACTCGCTGTTTGTTTTAATGATTTGAAGCCATCTGTGAATAGGTCTTTTGTAGAAATCTCTTTCTTTCCAAAAGGTTCACGCCTCTTTCACAATAAATTACAAAGCCCTATTAGATTTTTTAATGATTTTTTCCACAAGATCTATTCATATCTGTACCAGTTTTTGCTTTGAATGTGTGTGGACCTGGTTAACATCATATGCAATCTTTCTTCATTATTTTATATACATTTTCCAGATTTATAATGATGGCTACAGGTATTTTTTCATATTTTTCTCAGTGAGACTCTTCTAACTAGCTCTGTGAAACTGGAATGTTTTGAGGAAACTTAAATCTCTGTGCTTTCCCCTAAACGGCTCTATAATATGTTGGGTCTGGATCAAGCTGTACAACTTGTCTGGAGAAGTGCATATGCACTATAGGTAGTGATGTTTCGTGCTTCATTAACTTCTACTTGACTTGCAGAAGACGGCAAAAACGTACAAACAAAATGAACCCTTCTCCAGTTTTCCACTGAACTTGTGATTGAGAAGAGGTGCCAAGAAGATAGTGAGATGAAATGAGATGAGGCACCATCAAGCAGGAAAAAAGCCCCATTCATTATTACTAGAGCAAGTACTTATTCATCACTCCTGCCTTATCACAAGCAGTAGAGTTAGCAAAGGCAAAATTGAAGAAATCAGGTTTAGGTCTTGATACATTCTATAATTTATGCAAATATTGAAACCTCTCGTTAGATCAGGGAGTGAAAAGGGTCCTTTGATTGTTTTTGTTTGGTCCACTCATTTCCTCTAAAACCAGAAGAACTGCTAACTGTTCTTCTGTCCTTTCTGTTTCCCTATTTATTTTTCAAATCAAATATTGCATTCTTTTTCCTTTTTAATGTAATCAGATATAGTAGGAATAACAATACAGCCAAATGCATATTGGAAAGAACTTATTCATTGTAAGCCTTGTTTCAGATAATACCTCCATTTTGGATATTAGACACTCACATAGATCCTGCTCCATTCTTAAACCTTTCTGACACTATTATAGATTCATCCCCCTAAATATCTGAGTTGACAGTGAGCATGTGTTCTCAGAGCCTGGTGAATTTTTACCACTGAGACTTCTAGTGATATTATTATGTGATTTTGCTTATTCTCTTATTCCCTTGCTACATTGCTTATAATTTCAAATATAGAGGTTATAATCTTCCTTCTTTTTCTTCTTCCTTCCCCTTCACTGGCTTCCTGGAAACTTTACTAATTAAAACTTTTAGAGACAAATTCTGAATTCTTTAATTATTCTCTGCTATTCAAATTTTGGAAGATACTGTACTGATAGCTTAAGCTGTGAATTTACCAGTTCTGTTGCTATCAATGGGTCATGGGCAGGGAAACTGATCCCTAGTACATCATCCTGAAGATAATTTTATGATGCTGAGGAGAGATTTTTAGAGAACCGAAGGCTGAAAATTCTGAATCACTCATACACAAATACAGTAATAGGAAATGACAATCAACTGTAATTTAGTGTTTACTTACTAGGAACTGAAGGGACAGTAGTGGCAGTTGGAATCACAGTTGGCTCTACATAAATATTTCCATTACACTTTCCCTTTGTCAGGCCAATATCATCCAAGGCAATATCACTGGGACCATGCTTTTTAAAGGCATCAAAAATAACCTGAAGTTCATGAAAAAAAGTTAGGATTTTATAATTTAATGAAACATTTTTCAACTTTCTATGCTGAACTATTCTGTTTTCTTTCTTGAGTGCTCTTATTTCCACTGTAATCTACACTGGTGCTACACTTAGAGGAGGGCATCAGGGATGAGACAGGATTCCTCACAAAGCAAAATGGCACTATGCAAACTGAGTGAATCATTCTAAGGATGCAGGAACTTCTTCGTATAAGTGATGAACATTATTCGAAATTATTCAATAAATTCACTTTTTACATATAAAAGCACATAATTTTTGAAACACCAATTCTGTATCACTCATCTCATCAATCCAAACTTTTCCTGATCTAATGGCATATCCCCATGAAAAATTGAAATTAATCTCATTTGTTTGTTATTGTGCTTTAATATCCACATATTTAAAGTAATCCTGCTACCAAGGAATTTGTGCTGGTGAAATACTGCTAGGTATAGCACTCTTCTTGAGATCATAAAACACATATCTGCTGGAAATCTGATGCAGATAGGTCACAGATGCATTTACTTCCTCAGACGGTAAACACATTTTTCTGGCAGTCCTTTTGCATCAATGAAAACCACTGTAGCAGGACAAGCCATCCCAAATACCTATAAAAAGAAGTTGTTTTCAATAGAGAGTTGCTGAAAGAATTGCCTAGCATAAGTTTCCTCCTTTTGTTTACAGGTAAGTCACGTTGGTTGTGAACCGTGTGATGCCAAATACATTTTTCCCTCTGAAACACGCTTTCAGTGAATTATTCTGTAATTAGTGAAAATACTGCTTCAGAATCTGAAGCTATTTAATTTAAATATTTTCATGACTAAGTGCTTCATATCACACTCACTGTCAAGATTTTAAACTCCATATCAGATTTTGATAGGCTTTGAACGACCTTCTTTCGTGGAAAGCTCTCTTTTGTGATAAAGTTGATTGTCCCATAACAATGTTAAGGTTTTCTGTTTACTACAATAATAATACTTTATATTCCAGAGTAGGGAAGCAGGAGGAATGACAATTCAAATGGTGAGTCCAGTCTTCTGCATGCTAACATTTATTTGATGGCATGCATTAGTAAATAGTACTCGATATTATCTTTGGAGCTGTGGATCATTGCTTTCATTTGGCAGAAAACTATGATATCAGTTTAACTAAAATAAATTTTAAAAAGAACTAGCTCTTTTAGAAACCTTAAAATCAGATGTTTCGTTTAAAGTTACTTGTCCATAATTCCAGTTGTTTCCATAGTTTCCTTCTTTCTGGAAAACGATCTTTTCCAAACCACGCTCATTCCTTATGCTAACTCTTAAACGGTAAACATTAGTACTGTACATGAAATACCTAGAGGGGGAAGAGTAATTTTGGTATTATTAGAACAAAGTGAAATTTCATGAAAAAATATAAAGCTTTTTATTTTATAAACAGTTTTATGGAATTAGGACTAATGCACAGTGAGCATGAAAATAAAATGAATTGTATGTTTAGATTACACCTGGAAGTTTTCCTTGGTATTTTGCTATATTTTCTGCAAAGGCCTAGTTAAGCTTCATGACAAAAAACATTTCAGAGATTCTTAATATCATTTCTGTATAGAAATGAATATTGGATGCAGGGTGAAAAAGAAAATACATTAAAGCCAACTGCAAGAATCAAAACTATAAGGGAGTCAAAATTTCAGGCCTAGAGTTGAGACTGATCATGGAAAACAGAACAGAAGCAGGCTTGTATTGCTGGCACACTGACTTTGATTAATATTATATATGAAACAAAGCTATTTGGTTTTATTCTTAAACAAAGTATATGTTTAGAAATTATGTAAGAATACCAAAAGCTTAGACAAGTTGAATCTGAAGAGACCAGAGGCAAACTCAGAATCCGGACTCTCTCTTCTCTGAATCCAAGTCCTGTGGGTGTTGAAATATAAAATCCTGCAAGATAATGAGCACACTTTAGTCAGTACAGAATTACTGATTTTTTTTTTTTTAAATGAGAGCTTTTACATTAAGAATAGTATCAATAATATAAAGCACAGATAGTGTTGCATGACTTGGAAGATTCCTGACACAACAAAGGTGAATTATTACTCCAAGTTATATTCATCAGTCAATGACATATTAAAATCAGCTTTTAAGCTTGTCAGACACTCCTCAGAACTAGACATGAAATGGGAAACTAGTCCTTTTGAAGTCAGTGGGAGATTTGCCTTTTATTTAGTGAAGGCAGTGATTCACCTGAGGGATTTCTACTTAGTTTATAAAAATGTCTTCCTGTTTGACATTGTTTGTGATTTTGCAGAACAATTTCCTGACATTCTTATAATTTTTATCCACATAATAATGGGAAATATGGGTTGTATGTTGAGGGGGGTGAGAGAATGACTACATGAATATGTTACAGTAAGGTGAAGCATTATAAACAAGAAAAATACATTATTTGGGGAAATTAGGTTTTTAGCTCTTTCTGAGTTAATTCCTTGTAGCTGGGAATTTTGACTTCTTGCTGCCATATAGAAATATAATGTGAGGCCAGGCTACAGAAGCATTGTGATTTGTCACAAGAAAAGCAAAATCAGGCAGAGTTAAAAGTCCTACAATAAAATTCTTGCTTTATTGAAATCATGGCAGTAATCCTAGATTTTATTCTATCTATCTAATACATATATATGCAAATATTATATTCATAGAATCTACAAATAAATATAATTACATAATTTAAATTATATATACTATATTCTGTGATTTATACTTCTAGATAAGCTAGCTTTTTCATGTAGGAGGTTAAAGTACCTGAAAATTAGTCTGAAATCTGAATCAGGCCTTTCATTTCCAGTGTTGACTTAGGAAGCATGCATTAAAATGTACATGGTGTCTAACTTTAAGAAAATAAGCATAGCATTCTTTTTCAGAAAAGGACTTTGTATAGTCAAAGTGACAGTTCTCTGTCTGTTTCATCAGTTCTCTGAGCATTCAGAATGAATTGTTGAGTACGTATTAAGTCTTTTTCTTTTCAAGAGCAGCAAAACAAATATACACTGTCTCACTGAATGTATGTAATAGCCAGATATTAATGGTGCAGCTCACATTTTTGCTTCACATGCAGGTTGTAGAAATTTTGAATATTCAATATAATAGCAACATTACATATAGCAACATTACAGATGTCAGCTTAGATCTAGCACAGTGAAACAGAGAGCACCTAAAATAAATTAGCATTTTCAAGAGAGATAAAAATCATTGTCAAGTAACAAATATTATGTTCTTTCATCTGATTTGTATTCTAGGAGTCAAGTGGGAAGATAAAACAGTGTTCTGAAGATTGCTTAGAAAATGTTCATTTACTCAGAAAGAGGTGAATAATTTCTATCCAATAACATGCTGAATAATATTTTTCTTATCCTGGAAGTAACTTCTTCTAGAATAATTTGCGATTTTTCCAGTCATTTGTCACTGAATAAGTTCTGTATAAGTCTTGCGCAGAATACATATAACCATTGCAAAATCCAAGTTATGTTAAGTAGTTTTAGCTGGACTGGTGAATCAGCTGAGAAAAAGATTGGTTTTCCTGTTGAAGCAGAAAAAAACCTTTGGAGTCTAATTCTGGGATAAGCATTCATGATACACATTCAAAATCTGATTTCTATCAGTATTGTCTCTTTAATTAAAACCCACATTTGATATGATCACTCTTCCAATTAAGTTGTTGTGCTATGGCAGTTGCTGGAGTGTTTGTGTGTTTTGCACATGTGTTGAAAATTAGTGTGTTTGGTGTACGATTCTAACTGGGGACACAGGTGCCCCATGTACCCTGCAGGTCAACTTTATGTTAAATCAAAATTATTGTGTGACAACCATGAGGAAGTCACCAGTAGATGGGGATGAAATTGAAGTGATTTCCCTAAAACATAACCATACTTGTTTTTTTTTCCTTAAGGTAAATGTGCAGTTATTTGACCTATAACACTGTTGCATAATAGAAATTAATTTCGCAGATAAGGCACTTTGGAATATTAATAGCATTGAAACTTTTCAGTACCTCACACTTTAATCACTTTATATATTCCTTTATTTCTTCTTTTAGTTTTGGTATATTTCCACAAGATGGGAATTAGTAGCATAAAACGTTTTATATGGTAGTCCTGTCTCATTTTTATGGCAGAATAAAATTACATCCCAATAATACCACTATGAAGAATCCATTGTACAGTGGTATAACATAAGCTAAATCAAGATTTTCCTTTAATCTGCAAGCAACTTGTATTTGATCTTACCTGACATGTTGCCAAATGTATGATCAAAATCAGGACCACTCATAAAGGGAAAGGTAGGACCCTGAAGTCTCTCCCAGTCTGAATCATCATCTAAATCTTGTATCCAGTAACAAAAGCCATCTTCAAAAGTGCAATTGACTTTCTCATAATCTGTGAATAAGAACCTCTAGTAAATAAAAATGACAGAGATGTTAAGTATTTTCTCAGAATTACATAAGAATGAGTGACGATGTAAATTTTTAAGTATGTTTGAAAACAGGAGCTCACAGTGACTCAGTTTATTCTTCTATGCAATGCAACATAATTACTCAAATAAACATGTTATTTGTACTTGTTAACAAAACACTACAGCTGAAGGTGGCCCTACATGCTCTTGCGCTCATTCACCAACCTTCTTTTCTGATCCTTCACCAGTAATGTGGGGGAGTGAGAGAGGATCCCCTGCATAGCAAACACTAAGGGCTAACCCTGCTCTTTTCGTCTTTTCTTTGCCAAGGCCTGGAATGCTCCAGCTGAAAGGGCTCACTACCAGAGCTGAATGCTCAGAAGATAAGTGCTGTGCTCCATGCACCAGGGATGCCCTTTTCCTTGTCCTTCTTTGCTCACATACATTTGCTGCAACATCCTCATCACTTTTCTCCCCATGGTATTTTGCTCAGTGTCTTTTCATGGTGCCTTGAAGTGCAGGTTAGCTCTCAGCAAGGGCTTCCACATGACAAGGGTTTGTTGGCACTCTGGATGCCTCCTGCAGCATGTCCCTTCCCAGTCACATCCCCTATTCACACCCTGCTTAAAATTTAGCAGCGGAAGAAGCCTTCACTTGTCCAATCTGCAACTAAATTTTTTTCCCAACTACTAAAGAACAGCAATGCATGAGTCATATTGCTGCATTTTGTTGTCACCGTAGATTTACTGCATCTGGACTTCTTCCAATGCCTATTTACTGAGCAGATATTTTCCTGAATGTTAGTTTTACCATTTGGGACTAGTACTTGTGGCAATGAGAATAATGATTAGTGTCAGTGATTCAACAGTGTTCATTAGTGAACAAACTTCTGAGAGGAATCTGATGGAGATGCGGCTAGAGTTTTACTCTTATTTAAACAGATTAACTTTGTAAGGCATCACCCTACTGCTAGATACGAGCCTGTAAACCTGTGGACAGTCTCACTGAAATCAATGATTTAATCTTTAAAATAGTATAAAGTTTCTCAAAGTGGATCTAGTTAGTGGACTGAGGCCAGAAAATACTGCTTCCTTTTTCATTTCCATTTTGTCAAACTGAAAATACAGTTTCACCAACTGTTGTGGTTTAACCCCAGCCAGGAACTAAACACCACACAGCCGCTCACTCACTCCCCTCCCACCCAGTGGGATGGGGGAAAAATTAGGAAAAGAAGTAAAACTTGTGGGTTGAGATAAGAATGGTTTAATAGAACAGAAACAAAGAAATTAATAATAATAATGATAACACTAATAAAATGACAACAATAAAAGGACTGGAATGTACAAATGATGCACAGTGCAGTTGCTCACCACCCACCAATTGATGCCCAGTTAGTCCCTGAGCGGTGATCCCCCCGCCCCCACTCCCCCCAGTTTATACACTAGATTTGACGTCACATGGTATGGAATACCCCGTTGGCCAGTTTGGGTCAGCTGCCCTGGCTGTGTCCCCTCCCAGCTTCTTGTGCCCCTCCAGCTTTCTCTCTGGCTGGGCATGAGAAGCTGAAAAATCCTTAACTTTAGACTAAACATTACTTAGCAACAACTGAAAACACCATTGTGTTATCAACATTCTTCTCATACCTAATTAAAAAACATAGCACTGTACTAGCTACTAGGAAGACAATTAACTCTGTCCCAGCTGAAACCAGGACACCGCACTTTCGGGGTAACAAACAAACACACACACAAAAAAAACCACTTACTGTTTAGTTCATTTGCATCAAATGTAGTGTACGTTGCATTAAAGCCATTGTGATTTTCAGAATAATCTGATATAAACTGTGCTGTAGCCTCATGAGAAAAAATGTAAATTGTCTCAGGTTTAGGCCCTGACAGAGAAGCTGAGAACAAATGAAGAATAATATGGTCAGAGAGAAAAAAATCCCATGCACATTAAAATCCACAGTGCTGTCACAAAAATACAGTGGATTAGCTTTTTGAGTCTTAAAGAATGTTTTCCTTCTTGTATTGTGATCCTGCCTACAGTAGCTTCAAAACCCTGAAGTCATTTAGCTGTTTGGCTGCCATATAAGTATTCTGCATATCCCATCTCTCATATCCATCAGTACAGATATCAGCTAGTGGAGAAATGTCTCTTATAGTACATATATTCAACACTATAATCTTCATATCCATGCTTATTGTACTATAAATGTTCTCAAAATTTACAGATATGCACTGTAAAACTCTAGAATCACAGTATTGATTACATATTTTTGTTATATATACTTACTCTTACAGTTTAATTAGCACATACACTTACAGATATTCAAAGAGTAAGGAAACTACAATTGCAATGCTCCAAGAAACGACTGGACAGAGTGCTAGATAATCTCATCTAGGCTGCCTTTCCATGAAAAGGAACAGATGATCTTTCAACGTCCCTTCCAAACTAGGCAGTTCCATGATTGTATGGTACAATGTATCTAAATTTTTACTTTAAATTCTAAATTAATTGAAATTCTTTCATATAAATTCCATATGTGTGAAATGAAAGGATTGATACAAGTCATCATACAGTAAAACAGTTGCTTCTCCATCTAAAGCTGATATGATGTCCGACAACAAGAGTTAGACTAGTGACCATATTCAGGATAATGAAAAATCCAGAATTCTTCACTGTTCTGTGACAGTTTTTGTCTCTGCTCTTCCTCTTCTGAAGTCCTTGCCCAATTTTGCACAGATAGAGAGACTTTGCTTTTCTGAGGAGGAGCTATTTACCTACTTGTAATACTATATATTTGAAACCATGCCAAATTGTTAAGGAAAGACAATGGGCATCATCTTTCACACTTTTAATTATATGTGCATTATTTTCCTTTCTTCTTCTCAGGTTCTTTTGCTTAAGTGGAGAGTCTTAATCTGGAAATGTCTTGTAGTCTTTCCTCTACATTTGGTATTTCTAATACCTGAAAATCTACTCAAACTGAAAAATTTTAGGCAATGTACTGAAAGGACAGTCTTTAACATTGTCTTTATGTTTTTGTAGTATCACTGGTCATCCTCACAGCAGTCCTTAAAACCATGCAAGTTAACAGTTGCTGCAGACAATATTATTGAAGCAATGTCTCACATCTAAATTGAAATTCCAAAGGGGGGTCAAATTCAAAGCAGAACTGAAAGGGTAGAATTTCTCCATTCTTTATTTTATGAGACTCTTCCTATTTCTCATTCCCATTCTCTCCCTGCTTTCAAAAATAAGGATAAATAATAATATATCTTTCTGATTTATCTCTAGATGTTTATCTTCAAGTATATGTATTACACCTTTGATGGAATTCAGCTGTATAGGCTGAGTCTTGTGAAAAATGGACAAAATCTCAGTTTTCCAGAATAGAATATAGAGACAGAGATAGGTATCATCACTATTTCAAGGTCTGAGGAAAGCAATGCCATGCTTGTAATAAATTTCAGGGAGTATCACAGTACTTCTCGCAACAGTTTCAGTTTAGATGCCTTCATTTTATGTTACTCTGTGATGTTACAGGATCTTCTGACAACATATTTCCAGTGAAACATAGACCCCACAAGACCATAGCTCTGATCAAGTTATCCAGATTGTTCAAATAAGATCTTAAAAAAAATTAGATATTTCTTAATATATTAGGGAAGCATTTATGTGGTCACTTTGTAAGAATAGATATGTTTATCAAGATCAATTGTCTAACAAGGTAAATTTACACAGATGCATTCTTCCACTTAAACATACACAGGCAATTTTTTTCACTTCAGAACACTTATTTTGCCACTTAAATTTTATTAATGGAAAAGTAATATTAGCTGAAAAATAACCTTACCTCTTAAAATCTTGTTTTGTCCTATGCCTTCAAAAATATTTAAATTGTCCACATATTGTTGTGTATCAAAAGAAGTGAAGTTCAGTTTAATGGATAACCCTTGAGGCACTCTAAGATAACAAGAGAAAAATAAACTTCAAAACTGGAAGTCATATTTTAGTAATCTTTTTCTGACTGTAGTAAATTCATTGTGTGCTTGAATGATGTTAAGTTCAGAAACAATGTGAAATTACATTAATCAAGATTATTAATCAAGATGACCTATTTGGCTAATTTCTAGTTTGTAAAATTACCAGAGGAATAGGGCATAACCTTTTGTAACGGCACAAGCACTCCTTTACTCACTCGAGTTAAGTATATTTTAGGAACTGAATCTTCTAAACTGCTGAATGTGATATTCAGCTGAACAGGTTTTTTTCTTTTTTTTTTTTTCTGCATCTCATTAATTTACAGTTACCTTTTAATACATGTTACTAATAGATAACATCTCACTGCTCAGGTATAATTCCTAAAGTCAGAGGAATGGTATCATGGTATCAATATGAATAACAAGATTTCAAAATCTGACTCCTGAAAGTCCAAAATAATGTCTCGTATGATAAAAACAGGATTTGCATGAAGATTTGAGTATCTCAAACCCACTGTTTGGGAACATGTTATCAAACCTAACCATCACCCAGTACGTTTAAGAACAAAAGTCACTTTAAAGTGTAAAACATGCTGGGTTTTACTTTGCTGCAGTTATGTTCTTTCAGTAATCTATATTTGAGTAGTTCTCCCATTGCCTTTCCACTAAACATATACAGTAGTCCAATTTCTAAAACTCTACTATCACAATCAGCTTAACTTCCTATACCACTATTTATTGTTTTCTGGAATTGAGAGGCCCGATGAAGATAGCTTTTCAACAGCAATCTGCTGGTGCTTATCAGTACCAATTAGTAGAGAAGCGTGAAATAAATATTTGAATATTTGCATTTGCTTTTTTGGGGGGGTTATATATTTCTCCATAGGAAAAAAAAATCCTTGGTTCGAAAAGAGTAAAACATGTAGTTAAAAGGTAATCTTTCAGGAAGCTAATCTCTCAGAGAAATATTAAGCATACTGCTCTTACTTTTAAAAGGAAAGGAAACCACATCTTCATTTGGGGAAGAGTTAAATGGAGTGAAAATGTAAAAGCTTTTCCCAAAGGTAATGGGGAAATCTTTCTAGACAAAGTCAGAAGAGAAATCAAATCTTGGATGTGTTGTGACTTTTAACACATTTTTATAGGGATAATAAAAATAATAGGACAAAATGTCTCTCATTGGTTACTGGAAAACCCTAAAGCTTTCCTCATAGAAACAGTTGTGTTCAAAAGGGAGATAAAATTTGAGTACCACATTGAATTTTTCAGGCCTTTACTGTCAGTGTTGCCAGATTTTTTTAAAGCTGATGAGTGGAAAATAAAACCATATCGTTGTTTCTGTCATTGATCAATCTGTAATTACACAGATCTGCAACACCTGTACTATATTACCTGCAATTACTCATGATTATTTCAAAAATTAACCTTTTGTTAGCTACATACCTGGTATAGATATCTACCTAATGCAATGCCTCTTGCAGCTATAGCAGTGTTTGAAGCAAAATTAACAGCTTAGAAGGAAGTAGTGCACTTGAGACATGAGTATTTATTGTGCTCAAATTCTGCAACACCATGAATTTAGGAACAAGTCAGGCTTATATTCTGAAGGATACAATCTTGTGCTTCTCCTGTGACACACCTATATTTTAAAACCAGTTGTAGCCAGTAATTATTGGTGAATAGTATTGCTGAAGATGAGAAGGAACAAATGTACTAAACAGAAGGAAAACCATGACTTTTTCCTAAAGTGTCAAGGTAAAGACGAAAGTCCTGAGCAAACTCAAAGGCTAGCACTTTCAAAGGAGCCTTGGGAATGACAAGTCCAAATCTTATCCAATTTTAAAGGCATTTCCTTAATCTCCTTTGAAACTCTTCTACCAAATTAATGCTTCTCAGAATCAAAGAATGGCCATTATTACAAAGCCATAATAAAAATCACTGCTTTTCAAAGCAGTAACTTCTGAATTGGCAGTCATTGTAGGGATTTTTAGGAGCTTCCAACTTACAATCTTCTACGTTATTTTAGATATGTACTTTAGGATGAGATTTATCACATACTGTGGCTATCTTTTTTTCTCCCTGGTCTATGAAGTGGACCTAGCATGTCAAAGTCAAATAGCTGTCCCTCCCTGTAGGTATGTATCCTTGATTAAACAAATTTCACTTCTTGTGCCTAGGGCTTAAAAGGCATTTGGTGCTATTATGTCAAATGATACTCATGCACTTTTAAAACATACTCCTAAATGACTTAGGAGCACAGGTGCTCTAAACTCCCAGATGAAATGTGTACCCATAAATGACAAGGGAATTCTTGAAAATTCCATCTGTTAGTTATATCATATAAAACCATTACCTAAAGACTAGTATCTACTGTAATACATTGAAACAAATATCTTGCAATTATTTTTCCTGTGCACGCATATAATACACAAGATTTCTCAAAATCATACCTAAGAATTTTTCTAAGTGGGAATATTATTGATATAGTGAAGGGTGTTAGGCATGGAAGTTTTTAAAGAAAAGTTACATAAATACAAAGGAGAAAATGCTATTACATATTTTCCATCCTGGGGTGTTTGGGAATACAAACAAATGGCATAAGGTTGATGTGCAAGAAACAGTATCACCTCATAATCAAAACAATGTTAGGTAGGAAATTATTGGAAAATGGCTTACAGTATAATCCATTGGCAAATGATATTTGCATTATATGGTTTTGGATAATTCATGGAGTAAAAAAACCCAGAGGAATCAGTCAACATAAATTTCCCATCACAAACTGCACCTGTAAAGATATAATGAAGAACATTTGTCAAAATGCCATTTGAAAAACAGAATCAGAGCCAAAATGAGGGTGACCTTAGATATTGGTTTACTTGGAGTACCTTGGAAATGCTTTGTAAGCAACAATAGGAAGACAATGTAAAAAACACTACCAACTTACTCCTACTTCTGATTCCTATGACTATTTGATCTCAAAGTACTATATATGAGAAGAAAAGCAGTACAGATAATTCACTTTTGAATTAGAGACAATCCAACTAATCTGAACTAGTGCAAACCAATCCAAATAATCCAAATCCAACAGTTGGATTCAACTAATCCAACTCTCTTTCATTTTATTTTAGACATTTGTAAGGAAACAGGATCTTGCCTTAACAGTTCTTATCTATAGCTATTTTAAATCAGGAAATTGTATTTGCACTACCAGAAACAATTTGGTATCGTATGAATAAAAGCAAGAAGGGATACAGTTGACTATTGCTATCTCTACTTCTATGAGCTTCCTAGTTCCTCACCTTATATATTACTAAGCAGTCAAAGAGATAAGTGGATATCCCAAGTTTCCTGCCAGCTAGTGAATTCATTCATCTGAGGTAAATGTCATCCCTCATCATATATTTTTTCAAAAAGCTTCATTAGTTTTGTTTCCTTGGTACTGCTATTCCCTTCTATGCATGTTCTTCAGTTTAAAAATCAGTTATTAAAAAAAAAAATAGTCTATTTTTAAGCCTCAGCAAGATTGGAGATGCTAATTCATGTAGAGTTATTTTATTTCAGCAGACACTGAAGCACTGTTGAAGCTTTTGCTGCATCTCTTGAACATTATGTTAGGAATCTGTCTGATGATGGTTTTTCTTCAGTTTCTCAGAAAACATCATAAAGCTTTCAAGTAAGGATAAAATCAGCACCATACATGATTATCTGGAGAGGTAAGGACAAGTTCATCAATTTGAGGCAGGTACTCAGAAGTTAGATAGGCCTTTTCATTAACATCACAAATGAAATCATACCCATAATGACTACACAAATTATGAATAATCAATCATATTGAAAATTAAATGGAAATTTTATTGAGCTTATTTCTCCTCTGGGAAATGATATACATAATGATAAATCTGGGCTCCTTGTCTGTTCATTTTATAAGTGTAAAATTCTTTCTGACTACCACCGTAGCAAACACAACATAAAAATTAAGCTTTGTTTCAGTCAGGTTCAGGCATGCACTGTTAATAAAGACTGCAGAATGAACTTCACTAATGATGATATGTCTAATGCATGAGCTGGAATAGAAACACATTCCCCTTTGCAATCTTTATGGCCTTTGAGAGGAAAACAGAACATATCAGATTTTAAATACATAGAGAAAAAATGTCCATGAAAGAGAGTTACTATTCTATATAACTTTTTATCAGAATAGGCTACAGCTTTAGAGCTGGTAATTAGTATAGAAGTACTTTTTCTGTCCATTTAAATTCATGTGACTCCTGTCTGTACAATTGGGCTAATATTTACAATCATTTCCCACTGAGAAGAATAAAATCAGTGTGAGAAGAAGGAAAGTGCCCAACTTGTTATTAACAAAGTGTAAAAAAAGTGATACTGTTAACAAGTTGTTAGCAAGACACATCCTGATCTAAAAAGGAGTTTATAGCACTGGCAGTAATAAATAGAGAAATAGCATACTGTATTAATAAAATTAATGACAAAAGTTTGCTTTTGTCAACAATTCATTTCTGTTCTTCTTGTTTCCTTTTATTTGTTTCTTCTTATCTCTTAACACACAGTGAGTAACTTGAAACAGGACAGAAAGATTCAGGGAAAAATCCTTAGGCTGCTCATTCACAGCCTAGCAATAGTCAGTGCTTAATATCTCAGAAATGAACATGAAGATAGCTAGGACTGGTCCTATTTCCCTGAAGAACCTCCCAGTGCTTTCTCATTGTGGGGAGGAGGCAGCTGTGGTCACAGGTGGACAGGGTCAGAGAAGTCTTTACATTTCTGCCTCCTCCTGGAGCCCTCAGAAAAGCCTCAGTTGTCTCCTGTCTCATTAGGAGAACATGTTTTATAGGAATCACTTTCACTGCTTCCCCAACATGCATCTTGCTGTCCATTTCTATTTACTTATGTTGCATACAGCTCACATTAGGAGGGCTTAATCCTGTAATCCTTGAATTGCAGGGAGAAGCTCCCCAAACTGGTCAGATCAAGTCCACATCTTTTGCTTGACAGGATCTTTCTCTGCCAAGGACAGTACATTACTTCCTGGCTTACATATGATTAATCTCTCTCAGTACTGTAGTGATGCTATGAGGTAGGTAATCACAACACATTAGCCTAGACATAGAACAACTGCAAAGAGAGTCTGTAGAGAGAAACACCTCCTGGGATCAGCCTCCAGTCTCCCTTTCCTTAGACTTATGTGCTACATAGCTGCTTTTCAGCAATGCCAGCTATTATTAATAGATGCTGTTCAGACTTTCACATTTGTCTAGAGACCCTTTCACTGAAATTGCTAACTGCACTTTTGCAATGCCTTTTGTTACTGCACTGCATTGCAGAGCCAGAAAGAAACTTTTCAAGATAATTTTAATCAATACAACCAAAAAACTGAAGGCATTCAGTTGCCTGAAACTCTGCTGAGAATCTGAGATTTTACTGAGTTCTGTCTAATGCAGGAAGAGACTATTAAAATTCACCCCTGTACCCTATATTTTAAAACCATTAACATATTCTAAAATGAGAAGTACTAAAGGGAATAATAATCAAGATGAAAAAACAAACCCAGTTGTTTAACGGCAGCAACTCTGTTATGTGCAAGAGCACTTGTAGCACAAATAGTGAATTAGCTGTAAATCTCACTCTGAAGCACTTCTGAAAATCTAGACAGTTTTAGCTTTTATATGACTGTATTAAGTTACTCTAGGGATGGGACATAAGTCAAAAATCGAAGAGGTGGGAGAATTGGCAGGTATCCCATACGTGCATACAGCTTATTGCCAGTCATTCTACTGGTTTTGCAAAGTCTGCTAAGAAACCTAAATATATAAATTTGGAAAAGCTCAGAGTTTTTGGATGGAAAATTCTAAGGCTAAAATGTAACGTAAGAGTCATAGAGCAACAATTTGTCCTCCAGCCAGAATTGTATTTCTGTAAGGTTATGAGCTGAAACTGCTAAACTAATGGTAACTGAATGAGTTGCTTGGAAATACCAGGCATCAGTGAAGATGAACAGGGACAAATGATCCAGCTCCCTGAAGTGGAGCATAACTGTAGCTAGTTTCCTTATGACAATCTGTCTATTTTTACTTGTATGCACATTCCTGAAATTTTTATCTCAGTTGTGCATATTCTTTAGTGACTGTTAAAATGCTGATTAAGAAATAATATGCTCAGTTACAAAGGAGCAGGGCATTCACAACTTATATTTGGTAGAGATTCAGTGAGAGACGCAAATCACCTCCAAAAGCTATGTGCATAAGAGGCTATGCCTCAGCTGAAGAACTCTGCTTAAGCACAATTCGTAACTTAAACCACTGTGTAGCCTCCAAGGCACAGCTGAGTCATGTTTACATAGCTTTGACTGCAAGTAGGTGAGCTTATTTTTGTCTGTATCTACCAATGTATGAATATCAATTAAATTCTGTCCTATATAACAGGTCTGACTGTAATATCTTTAATAAAATGTGAGCAAAACTTGTAAACTCAGACCTAATAATTCATAGTAACTAAAAAGCATTCATTTTGATGAGATGTATAATACTACTTTTTAACTATATGGATCTGCACTTTTTTATTTAGCTGTAGCTAAAATAAAATAACATAAACCAAAACAAAACAAAACCCCCAAACAAAATCCATGTCTCAAAACAACAGTATGATTGTAGAAATGAATGACTGAATAAGTCTTGGGTTGTGCTACCTTAACTCTTGCAGTGAAACAGAGATCTAGCTGAAGCTACTTTAGGACCTTCTGATTTCCTCAACTGTACAGGGACCTGCTCAGAGCCCACCATCCTTATGATCTAGCTGGATGCAGCTGTTAATCTAGAAAAGACATTTGGATGTGTTTCAGTTGATATTCTACTGAAGTATTTTGATGGATATTTTCCCCCAAAAGTTCAGCTAACTATCCCTTCTGAATTGGCTGCACTCAGAAGAATGCAAGTAATGGGCAGGTCTGCAATTCACCTTTTTATTCCTGAAGAAAATTACACTTCTGGTAGAAGGGGTCAGGATGCCATTAGCCTTCAGAATCAGGCTTGCAGATTCCTTAAAAAACATTGGTCTTTTACTCGCTTGTTTGTTTTTAAACTAGAGCCCAGCATTTTACAAGTTTCTGAAAGCTCAGACTGGACTGCCCACAATTATTCTCAGGAGACCTCAGAAGGCTGTTCTCACAGCAGAAGGGAAATAAGCTTTCCAGATTTCTAGCACCAAATTCTATAAAAACCAACCAAACAAACCACAACACTTGGGGAGTTAATCGCTCCAACTTTTCCTAAAACATTTGCAAAGCTCTCTTTGCAGGAAAACTTTACAGACTTTGAACTGAGAGCTGAGACTGTGAAGAGCAATGCAGACAACATTAACGTGCATGCCTCCCCACCAACAAGCTGCACACAGTTTGGTAAGCAGCAATGTAGTCAGACTCCTCGGTACAATTTCACAGTGTTCACTGCTGCATGGAACAGTGGCTGCTCTGCACAAAAAGGTGCTCAGGGAAACTAGATAGATAAAGGCAAATAAACTCACTGGTGCTGAAGGATATAAGCTTTTTCCGTTAAAAACCTATCAGGTTTCAGGTTTGTAAGACTTTCACAGAATCACAGAAGGGTTGAGATTGGAAGGGACCTCTGGAGGTCATTTCGTCCAACCCCCTGCTCAAGCAGGGCCACCTAGAGCCCATTGCCCAGATTTTCACATCCTCATCTTGCACCTCTCACAGTGGTGCCAGCAACTCAAACATTTGTGTCAGAGTCATACAGACACTCCTGTTCCCTGGCAATCCGTGTAGGGAGATGCAGGTGGGTGGCCAACAGAGTTAAGACATCCTGCCAGGGCTCCATCCTGCAGTCACACTCGCATGCCCTGGCTGCAAAATGCTGCACTGCCCACCCTCTTCCCCCCCCATCCCATCTGTGTTTCTGGATGTACAACATCAATGTATCTGAGTGTACACAGTAACCTGGGAAAAGCTGTTTGTAGTGTTTTGTATGATGATATTCTAAATGCTAGAATTGAAAGAGAAACCTCCCTTCTGACTCCAGATATGCCATTAGGTGGTTTCTGATACTAGATAATGTGACTTTATATTTGTATAGGGTCATAATTTTAATTTTTTAAAAAGAATATTATTTGATATTACTGGTACACAACTTCATATGAAATTTCTATATTATTTTATAATTTACATTATATTTATGTTATAGTAACTAATAATTTCTATATTATTTTATATTAATACACCCAGATTATAGTATTTCTTCATTATTTATTAAGCATATTCTTCATTAATGAGAATTTTAAAGAAAATTGTTTCTATTTAGAAGATAAAGATTATAACAATCTCTCTTGTTAATATTTTTAGTAGAATTGATTTGGACTTCACCATGCAGTTTATTGCCTATAAACAATTTACAAACTACTGACAAGTTTAAGTATGTTTAAAAAGACTGATTCACAGGGGTTTACATTCTTACCACACGTTTTTTCAGATTCATCTGAACCATCTGGGCAGTCCAAGACTCCATCACAAAATAAATCTTCTCTAATGCAGGTTACACCATCATCACAAAGTTCATCAGGTGGCAAACACTCAGCTGAAATAATAAGGACAATAGCAATAACAGCACAGCAGTAATGCAGTTTCACTACAAAGGAAAATTGACTTACCTTTGCTTACTTTAGCACAAATCAAATCAACTGCTCTATTATGTTTTACAAAACTGCATTTTCAGAAGCCTGGAATGAAATATCACATACTAAGAAGATAAATTAAGCACAGTATGGAGGAAGTTCTCAGAAGTGACATATTTTTTGAAACTAAGCTTGAAATAGGGCTGGAAGAAAATTTCCATGAATTCCCATTTCCTTCCTCTGCCCAAATAAACTACTTTATGCAATATAATAAATGACATTTTCCAATTTCTTATGCTTGAATGACATGAGAAAACTGTACTTTGGTTTAAATAGCGGTGAAAAATCTCTGGTTTTAGTAATATAATTTAATTTAATATCTTCAACTTCAACACATCACAATGTTGCACTTCATCATGCTAAAGAATCTCATTTTTTTAACTAGCATATCTTGAAAACGAAAGCCTTTAAGACTGGATTTTGAAATACCAGGAATATCAGAAACCCTATTCTTTTCAGATTTGCAAATTATATTTATAAGTTAAGGGCAAATTTCTGCAAAAAGAATACATGGGCAGATCCTTAAAATTGTGGAATCTCACTAATAGTGTTTTCCTTGAGCATAAATGTTCATCCAGTGCGAACATGCTCTTTTAGTCTTTAGATAGTTTTGGTCCTAGACATCTGTAGAATTCAAGTAGGTCCTATTAAAGTGAACAAAAACATGTAGCTAAAATAAGCTTTGGATAATTACTAATTTCAAAATTCTTGAAAATTGCATTAAAATCTGTGGAAACTATTCACTCAGCACTATTCACATAGTTCCTTTTCAGCAAGCATTTACTGAAGTACAGAAAAAAGTAAAAATTTCTTATGCAAGAGGGAAAAATATTAATTTGTAAAACTGATCTTGCAGCTTCTAACCATTATTGCTTGATTTACTTTTTCATAAAACTGTTAGTTCTGTAATCAGATTAAGTGAATGCTTGTATGATATTGTATTGTATATCAGTATAAGTGACAAGGACTGAAATTGGTTTGGATGTATTGTAATATTTCAAAGTGCTTTACAAAACACTTTCACTGTTAATAATGAAGACACTGTAAAGCAAGAACTGCCATGTTGCATCCAATTGGTAATTGAAGCAAACCAAACATAGTTTAGTCAAGTGTTGGAAGTGATACAGTGCCAATGAATGGCCACAGATGAACAGAGACGAAACTGTGTGTTCTAGACCCAGAACAAAACCCCAACCAATAATCTAGGAATATGTGTTGCACAAGCCCAATATGCAAGAAAACATTGTTTACATACGACATGATCAATTCTAGGTTTAGTCTTCACTCAGAAAACTAAACAGCATTGCCACCTACTGGATAGAAAGAAATTAACATTTTCTAGTAAAACATTTTGACTTTTTTTTAAACAGCAAATTACCCTAAATTGCAATGTAATTGCTATACTCAGCTAAAAAATGGCAGTAAATACATTAGACCCATTTGAAAATGCTTGTAAATGTCATATATATTTCACCATTTAATAAGGCTAGGGAAGGTTTTCAAAGATTCAGACAGCTTTGGCTTTCTGTCCATTGGAAGTCATGTGAGAATTTGCTAACAGGTTGGGGTTTTTTTGTTTTTTGTTTTTTTTCCCCCCAAAGAGCCCGAAGAAATAATAGGAAACAAAAATGAGCAGTCAGTAGAAGTGTCAATATACACAACACATATACCATTTTTGTAGAATGTACAGTCTTAGAAGTCCCTTCTCCTTGAAGAGGTCTCCTTGGTCAAATCAAAGGTAAACCCACATATCATGTATTTGTAGGAATGGAATGTGAGAATTTAATAATGTGAGAAGAGGCCGTAGGCAAACAGTGTAATTCTGAGATCTCAGATTGTTTCATATACACTCCCTGCTTCTCCCTGTCTGTAGTTACCTACCTACAGTTGTTGAGAACTTGCTTGTGGTGAGCTGTCCTGAACCTGGGCAAACACAACCCAAAGTTAGAACTCTACTTCTTGCTCTCTGGCAGCACCTCTGCAGTTGCTTGGGCAGAACTAAGCAGCAGCTAGTCTGCTCTTATATCTGCATTATTTGCTGTATCCACACACTCCAGTTTAGGTAATGATATGGTAACACCAGCTTGAGTGGCTTGATCCTAAAGGTCAAATGTCACAATAAACATAAGAAAAATAATGTGGAACCCAAGTGTATTTTAAATCTCATTCTTTTAGCACTAGTCACATGCTTTTCAATAACTTCAAAAGACTTTCAGGGTTTTTTTCCTATTAAAATAACAGCAGTACTTTCTTGTCTTTCCCTGGTAGGGAAAAGTTCTAACCTGAAGATGGTGTCAGGGAGCTTGTAATAAGAGTCACGGGATTTGCTGAAACAAGATAAGTTATGACAACTTTAATATTAGTACTATAATGTGTATGTACATTTTCTTATAAATAAGATTGCTAAACAAATCAGTTATCACAGTGTGAGGAGAGAAGCCTCAAATCTTTCTAGTATTTGTATATTTACATACAGGCATACATACATACCTGTGTGTATACATATTTACACGTGAACAAATGCCTAGGTAAATAAGTAGATTTGTATTAGTGATAGTAAACTGCAAAACATTCTGGAAAAATGGAATGCTTATTTGTGATTGCTCCAACACAATTTCTACTTAGATGTGATTTTAATAAAAATCACTGAGGATGGCCCTGGTGTTTCCAGCTCCCCAATAGTCTTTTTTTCCCACTTTGAATTTGCATTAGCATCCCTGTTTACTATTTTTACTTTCTAGATTAAGACTCAAATACGTGAGTAGGATGATGATGTCCTCAGCTGAAAAAGATCCCCATGTCACTACAGTTAATGGATCCTCTCCCTTAGTTTATAAGATGAAAGGCCAGAAGGAATAAAGTAAGAGATGCGGTAAGGCCTTCTTGCCTTGTCTATAGTTTGTCACCTATCAGTTTTGCTGGCAGAAGTTGCTGATCATTGGCCAACACAGACTTACTTTTGTTAGATGTTCCTGCTCTCTCAGACTTACTAGTGCACAAACTTGCATGAGGACTTCCTACCAATTTTCTATCAAAACATGCTTATTTAGCAAACACTATTAAGCTAAGCTAGGACATTTTGCATTAAATGGATTATGCACCGTTCTATGTCAGCAACTTTAAAGACACAGTTCCTCAGACAGAGGGAGAGGAGGGCCCAGCAGAAGGTGTAGGAAGGGTGCAGCTGGATGGACTGTTGCTCTCACACAGCTACATTCAAAGAAGGAAGCTTCATTCATATCTTCACAGTAGTTTCCAAAGTGTTATATACATACATATCTACCTACATATCTGTCTACATATTTCCTAAAGGATCACTATTTTGGAAGGAATGAAACATTCAAAGACCTAAAACACAGGTGCATGCATGAGCAAGCAGTTCTAATGAAACAATTATCAGGAAGCTATCTCTTGAAGACTGTTGAAAAAAATTGGGACTGTTACAGGCACTTCCAAAAGTGCATGCACAAGTTGACAGCAAAAACCATGAGAGGAAAAGCACAGGACAGTGACAGAGGCATCAGTGGTATAAGCACAAATCACAAATGGTCAATTACTGTGTGATCTCACTAAAGTAACATGTGAGGTGGGTGAGGATGGTTTTAGTGTGAACAGAGCCAAAACCCAAGCACCAGCAGATGTAAACATACCACATATGGTAAAACTTAGGTATATCGTGGGATTTGGACTGAAAGAAAAAGAGCAAGGAGGCAGACACTGTTAGCAAACATACAAAAATGACCCCAAGCAGACCTAGGACCAAGTGGGAAGGAATCCAGACCAAGAATATTATTCCATTCCAGCCTGGGGTGCTGACAACTCCCAACTCACTTCCCCTGCCACCACACCCACACCTCCCCATTTCTTCTTGAGGATGATTAGCACCATTGAACTTAGGACTCAGAGGAGCATTGAGATAGCATACCAGAGGAACGGATAGATAAGAGAAAATTCGTGTGTTAGCAGTTTTAACTGTATCATTGGGAATAAGCTGTAGTAGTTGTACACTTTGGACTATATGCGTTAGCCTGTAACTAGACTAATACAACACTTTCATTGTTATGGCTGTAATTAGACTAGCAGTAAATACTTGGTTCCTATATTCATAGGTGCCTTTCTTTAGCTCACAGAAATTGCACAAAGCTCCTGGTCTGATACCCTGCCCTGGAGAATTGTATGTGATAATTTGTATGCAGTTTGTATGCAACAACTCGACCTGCATGTAGTGCTACAAAGCACCTGCTGTATTATTCAGCTCTCTGACTGACTTTTGGCAGGTTTGTAGTCAGTGAATTTGTGAGACCAAGGAGTTGTGTCTGCTTCATACCCTATCATCCTAAGACTTCCAGTGATAGGGGAAGGAAAGTCTATCAATCAACATTGCTCACTATATTGGTAATCACAGCATGAGAGTAGGACTCCCCAGCCTCATCTACCTGCCTAAATCTGTGAAAACTTCAGCTTGACACTCAGCTGGCTGATGGAGACTCAACTTCTGTTTTCATTCACTAATTAAGGTCTTACAGCTTTTGTACAGACTTCAGATCACTGCTTGCTCAAATGGTCAGAAACAATGAAGGGCAGCTAACTATCACTGAATGGACCCTAAAAGTCAAGCCCTAGTTACAGCTAAGGCAGCGTTACTACGTTATACTACCTGAACAGCAAGTCTTATGTTTCTTCATGTATTTGTAAAAAAAAATAGTTTCTGTTTTATGAAAGATACTGACCTGGTGAAGTTAAAGGCATCATTGTAGTAAGAGTTTCAGCAGCTACTGGAAGAAAGCAAGTTCGTTATAAACTCCTTTTATAGCACAATATCTAGTTTTACACAACTCAGAAAGAAAGTTTAAATAAAAAAAAATAAATCAGCTGTGACTACTTCTCTTTAAATCACTAGCAGTGTCCTGCTTCCTTCCTTTTGAACATCTCACCCTGTTCCCAGCCTTTTCTCAAACTCTATGATCTTCCTAAGGAGGAAAGGTCTATATTAATCCCTTTCAATCCTCAATCCCCATTCATTGTATTGCATATAAAATGTCTTCATCTGGGAAATCTCTGTCTTGACACTTTTTATACGATGGAGATTTTCAGAGCACCTGTGTCTTATAGAACAGTGTTTAGATCAGATAAATGAGTTAAAATTAACCTGGGATAATTCGCAAGAAAATAAGTTACTTCTAATCACTGTGAAAACTGTGATTTCAAGTTAGCCACACCTGTGTTGTAGTTGCCTCCTCCTCTGAAATAGGAACAGGACTTCTCTTGCAGAACATACTGAGATATAGGATGCAAAAGTGCCATATATGATTATGATCGCTAATTAGTTACAGTTGTTATTTTATTGAAGCACTCCTAATGGAATGGACAGATGGTATCTCATGTGAAAAGAGGCATTTTAATGATCCACAGCAAGAAAAGTTTGACTACTTCAAAGTTCATCAATAGATATACAATCTTTTAAAAAGCTCTTCATAATTTTATTTGGTGACATTTTTGAAGTATAATGAGCAATCACTTTCAACAGTGATGTGCAGTTATTTAGAACAACTTCTTATATGTGGTGCAAGTAGTAAAGAGAAATAAAGATGTCAAGACTCTGAATTTAGCTTTTGAATACCTGAAGTACTTAGCAAAAAACGTACCTTTTAGAATAGAGTAAGAGACATTGCACACCAGATGTCCCACTCTCCTTAAAGCAATCAGTTGCTACTTAATAGTATCTCCAGCAGGTCTTCAAATGTCAGCTAATCAACTTCCACTTCAAAGGATTCAAATTACTTTTTATCCTCACTCTCAGTGAAGGTCTGTTTTGAAGCTTATTGAGGTAAAAACAAGGATTTCCATTGATCTCTTTGGGCTTCCATTTAGGCTTTGATAAATTTTCTGGTACTTACATAAAATCACTATATTTATATATTTGCAGAATTTAAAACTACCTAATTTTTAAAGCCACATGCCTTTTTTTCCCATTTACACTTTACCTAAGCTTTAGAGGAATATGAAGTCAGTTCCTTGGGCATACTTGTCCAGAAGCCACACTCTGTATTCAGTTTGTTGTTCTTACTGAAATCTTTTCAATAAATAAGTCTTCACTCACTGTGAGGCTGAGCCCTTTTCCTTATTCTTTAGCAAAACAAAATGGCAATTGCATTTACTTATGAAACAACACAGTTGGGGCTTAATTGCTTTAATTTAAGGGATAATGAAATTAGAAATGTTATGCTACATAAAAGACACGAAGTTGAGTGGTTTTCACTGGGAAATCACAACTTTGTCCTTTACTCCCTGCTTAGTGAACACACAATGCTGACTCATACTTTCTAGTTGACAAGGTTGTAAATGATTCTTTCAGCTGCTACTTAAAGTTCTGTAATGGGGAAGGAGGGTACCCATAAGCATAAGTAACAATCCCTTTGCCAAAGTTTTCCCTTAGGAGCCAAAGTTTTCATTCATGTTACCTGTAGTTCTCAAGGGATTCTACAGAGAAAAAAATTTTTACTAGCATTACCTGTGACTTGTATGCTGTTCACATCAATTTTCAAAGTCTGGGTAAGATTAGTTTTATTTGCGTTGAAACCCAAAACCAGCTCATTTTTTATTTTCTCAACTGTTACCATCTGGGTAAAATAAAGGCTGAAGATCACAACAACACTAGCAATACAAAACAGAGAAGCTGATTAGTTATACAAGCTAATGAAGTAAATTTGCTATATGACTTATCATCTAGACAGTATTTCTTTCCAACAAGGGTTCATTTGCAAAGTCAGGGTTTCTTTAAGTGTTGGCTGGCAAAGATGACACATAAAGGAACACCTCTTAATTATCAGGTTGGTTTAAACCTTGGAGAAACAGTTTTTTTTTCCTTTATCTACTCTTATTTTCACTGTGGGAAAAAACCAAAACAACATCCATATCAATTGCTGCAATGGAGCTGAATTTGGATAAACTAAAGGAGAAGTAGGTTTATTGTTATTCAACAGGTCTCCTAGTTTAAGCCCTAAAATATTGATTGTGAACCTTGAAGTGTTATGAAAATTATATAATATATTCATGTTATAAAAATATAATACAAAGTGATCACTTTTATAAAGCAAAGAATCTGTGGATTCTGCATCTGTGAGGATCTGCTGTGTGATTGCCTGGATTCTCATAAGGAAACAGTAATGGCTGCAAGCACAGATATTTTGAAATCAGTGGTTAAACCACATTTAACTTCTATGGGGCCTGAATTTCTGCCAGAGTGTTTTCTATTTGCTCTCTGCTGTCCCTTCTAGATACTATTATTAAGTTTTATATTTGTAGCTAGATTAAGGTAGCATCAAAGTATGATGCTTGCTAAAGTTTTTCTCCATTTACTTAAATTTAGGTTCAAACTTTTTTATTCTTAAGCATTTATACTACCCAATTGCAACTGACTCAGTAGTGCTTTTTGGTAAGAGGTGATTAATCCTGCCATTTTGCTAAGCTTAGTTTGCAATTTGCAATATATGGAAAAAGTCTCTTTAATTTCTTACATGTTTCTGATAACCTCTGGGCCATGCTAAGCAAACAAAAGCTTTTATTGCTATCCTTGTGACTCAGCAGAGTTTCAAGGGTGAAATAACAAGGAGATTGCCCAAAGGGGTAAACACTTTTTAAATGAAAAGAGTCAACTAGAAAATAGTTTCTGAGACAAAGTAATATTTCAATTATTATTTCAAAGCAGAAATGAATGCAGATCCTTACTGATGTGTTAAAAGCCAGATCCAACATTCATTGACATCAGGTTTTTCTGTGATTTCTGTGGTATTTGTGTCAAGATACAGCTGTGGAATTGGTTTTACCAAATATAGATATTTACAGTGCAGATACCTAGATTCCTATTGCAGTTGTTGGAAAGACATAAGCTGTTCTTTGGCATAATTGATCTCCCCCTAAAAAAGGCATCTAAACTGACCAGATGAGAAAACTCTAAAAACCCATCACTTACAAAGAGAGCCTTGAGCAACTAGCTCAGAGACGTCTCCATCTTTGATGCCCAGATTTTGATGAGAAGAGTCCCATTCTATGTGCAGAAACCAAATTGTGCTGACTGTATCTACCTTCACGAGGACAAAAACCTGGAAGTGACCTACTCCTACCACTGTGTACTCCATTCCCTTGATGTTATAAAATCCTTCATAAAGTGATCATTCTCCACCTTTCTAGCTAATTAGGTTTATGCCCTCACTATTCCAATCAAAAGATTGCTCTAATTCAAATCTGCTTCCCATTTTCAACATGCATGTATTCACAGCTTGCTAATATCCATTTTTCTTTTGCAAGCATGGTCATTCAAATGAACTGTCTCCTCTGAATATTTATCCACTTTATGTATTTACAGACAACATTTATATCACAAGAACAGCTGGTATCACAGAATTGCATCATTTGTCATCATGTAATGTAAACTTTTCTTTAATTTTGTGGTCTCACCTGTAGGATAACTAATTACATCACTCGTTTCTCAAAGTCTTCCAGTTCTACTAGGGTGTTAATCTTTTGTCCTCTGTTTTGTTCTTGCCTATCATAGTGTGTCATCAGACCATTCTTTATTTAAAGCCCAAGTTCCTAATGATAATGTGAGATCTGCCCCCCAGTCTAAGCAGCTTCCTACTAGCAAGCTCAGCACAAACTGATATCCTTTCCTTTCTAGGTAGTTTCCTACCTACTTCACTGTCCTTACCTTTCCCATTTTTCTTTCTAACTCGATAGTGCCAGGGACTATTAAATTTTTTTTCTTCTAATCCTACAGGATGTTTTTGGAGGAAAGATATGTCTTGAAGCTTCATATGCTCTTTAGAAGGCCTTATCCAATCTCTAAAGATGTATTTTTTCATCTGTTCACTGTCCACTGAAGAAGTTTCTAAATTAATAGCATCATTGCCTCTTGCCCATATTTTAAGTAAACTTTGTCATATGCAATTACCCAGTTTCTGACTTCTTGAATCTTTCATGGCCATCTTCAGATTTCCTGTAGAAAAACACAACAATAAAACAAAGCACAACACAAAAGCACATGATTCCCCTTGAGTTTATAAAGTTCTGCATAGGAAGCGTCTTCTGAAACTGTTTAATAATGGGACAGAGTATTACATGTGTTTTGATGAATCAGGACCTTATTAAGAACAGTGCAGATGGAATTAACACTGCAGACCTCACTGCATATACTGGACTTCTTTGCCAGCTGGCCTTCAGTAGGACAACCAACATAACAGGATATTGAAAAATGAGGTCAAACAAGCTTCAATAAATGAAGCAGGTCTTACTGGACCTATTTTATAGACTCTTCAGGACATACAGGGTGCAGCTTTACCTGGTGTCAAATGACAGCCTCACTTGCTAACACCCTAAGGAAAGTAAGTTAAGTGAATTCATGTCCATAGGGACATAGGAGTATATTTCCATTCATCTGAGCTTATGTCAGCAGATCTCTAACCTGAACTTTCTTCTAGATAGCAAGGGCCAGCAATCCTGCAAACATAGCACAACTAATAAACCTTGGAGGAAAAAAAAAAAAAAATTAACAATTCTTTAAAATATAGAGGTTCTGTGAGCTGGTCTTAGGGCTCAGCCTTACTGGTTTGGTCCAGGCATGGACTTATAGGAGTCTGAGAAGGAAGTTTGCCCCAGTAAACACATTGGTGTCAAACTTCCCACAGCAGCACTTGGAAGAGATAAGACATGAAAGGAATAATATAGGATGTTCCCAAGGATCTCTTGGAAAGCAAGGTATTGGTAAGTACTACTGAGAGAAATAGCTAAGTGAGGACTTTTGACCTTTATTTGCAAAGTTTAATTAAATTGTACCTACTTGAACTGGGAAATTTCACATCTCTTGAATTCATTTTTCAGATCACTTTCTTGAAAAACTTTTTGTATCTATATGGAAAAGAGAAGTCTTGAACAAATACAGTAATTAAAAATACACCCAATTGTACACTGCATTCATCGTTTTAATGCTAAATAATTTTTCCTTCCCAAATCTAGACTACAGAAGAAAACTTTTTCTTTGATCTTTCACTTATTTTCACAAATAAGGAATATATTGAGTTCTGACCAGGCTTAGGACCTGAAATATCTCATTTTGGGGAGAGGAAAAAGCCATCAACAGCAGGTTGTGTTAGGGAATTAATGTACCTATCAAATAGTCTTGAATTAACCAGAGACCAATAGGTTCTTACCAATTGTTCAACGTCAAAGGCAAGGACTTTGAAATCAGTTGATGATCTGTTTTGCAAAGCAGGAGTGAATGATGTCCCAGAGAGTATTTCAAATGTTCCCATGTAACCATGAGTATTCCCATCTGCTTCAGCTGCATAATTAAAAATAAAATTCATTGTTTTGAATTATATAGAAGAAAAATGAAAAACATTACATTAGCTTTTACTCCACATAGATCATCAAAACAATAACTGTTAGCTTTCTGTTCTGCTTTGTAATCAGAGATATTTTGCTTATGCTGATTTTAAAAGTGATAGACATTTTTCAATGTTTACAATAGTTACAACTGTAAACATATTTTATGAATACTATTTGTCCTTGATTCTCATTACTTTCAATTCTGTTAAAATGCTGTTTTCCAGCAGCACTGTGAATGGATAAAGGGCACAATGGTATGTCCAGTTAAGTTTAACACAAGGGACAAAAATACATGGGAAGAATAATAGTTAGTGAATTTTGAGTTTTTTGTGTGTTCTGGATTAAAAATATTAAGAATTACTACTTTGCACTTTATTAAATGTTGTGCACTTTTTATATAAATGTACACTGTTTTTGATAACAGCACTGGAAACACTAGTGTCAGACTAATTAAACTATTTTTGACCTGACCTTTCTTACCAATACATGCATTAAATGCTAGCAGGATTTATGAGGAAACTAGATAACTGGTCCTTACTGCAAATTCAATCTTGATTTTTAATATGTTACAGCATATGAGGTATGCATAAAGCAATTCATTATACATATACATTATACATTAAAAATACTTTCTCACTGTGTAATGCACTGGAAATTTTCAGATAAAACCTGAATTAATGTGGCTGATGATTGATAGAAAATGCCTTTTGCTTACCAGTTACAGTACTAGCGGTATTTTTAATTTGTGTTTGAAGGCATTAACATCTAAAAGGAGTTTCAAGACAAAAGCAGTTAACTAATAAACACTATAATAAACAAGACCTTTAAACCAAAATTTCAGTTCCATTTAAAAATCATCCTATGTTGTTTTTTAAATTCAGCTTACTTTGTGTATCAGTAGCTTGATTCTATCACATTGTGAGCATTGGCTAAATATTAAGAATGACTTTACCTTAACTTTACATAGGGCTGGGGGCTGTCTGTCTAATGCAGGATCTCTTTCACACCAATAAATTACTTTAAAATATATATTTTTTTAATAAAAATGAAAAGGTTCCAAGAAATGTAGGACACCTAAAGCTCCCCACAGACTTCAGTGGATTATCAATGTCTTTCTGAGTCAAACATCATATGTGGAGAAAAAAGCAAAAATCCACAATTTGCCGTATTACCTTCTCTAGTTGATGAATGCAATTGAATAACCAAAGCTTTATAGCTTGGATTGCATTCCAGGGACTTCTCCCAAATTCTAAACCATGAATATTCATTTCTAAGGCTTCAGGACATGCTTCAGTTGCTTGTATTTTTGCCTGTTTTGTTCACATCAATTTCCAGGGGAGGAGAAGAGGAAAACTTAATCTCCCCCCCTGCCCCCAGCCCTCCCCCCAGCATTAAAAGCATAGCATGAAATATGAAATATACTTACAATGACAACACCACTGGCTTCAAAGTCTGAACGTCTACTGAAGAACTGAAAAGGATAAAGGTTGGCTACTTACCTCGTTCTAACTCCTGGATTGATAACCATGAAAGTACAATCAGTCCAACACAAACACACAGAAAAATTGCAAGCAGAGAAGCAAACAACATTTCATAGTAACTAATAGGAACATATTTCGTATCAGATGATTTTTTCAGCTTCATTTCTGTCTTGAAAGCTTGTGTGAATTAAGGACTGACAAAAGACACAACCTGAAAAGGACGGTAATAATCCACATGAACAGATATTTATAGGAGATGCTTGTAAATTAATTACATCATAAAACTTCATTGATGTAGGTTTTTACAACATTCCTGAACAGTCATATTCGTACACAAGATATGCAAATATAAAGAAAAGACATCTTTTCAGAAAGGAAGAATTTAAGATTATGTCTCAGATAAAGAATAAGCGAGACCACAGAAATGTAAGGCTGGTCACTGGATTTGAACTATTTCTTGTAATTTGATACTTTTAAGTGAAAATTAATGTAAAATACTGCCTTCAGATTTACTGCTTATACGGGGTTTTTTTGGTAATTCTTCACAAGTGCAGTCATGAGGGCAACAGTAAAAGCCTGTCTTTCATCATTCTGCTTAAAAAGTTTCTTTAAAAGTAATTTTATATATATAGGAAATGCTGGCAAATGAGTTGTTTAGTACTGTGCCATAGTTCAGCAGTGTGTTCAGCACTGAACAATAATTCAGCAGTAAAAATTTAATCTGTGTAAAGCATGGTTCTTTGACCACATATCTGGAGGACTAACCAGAGAAGATATTATGAAATGTATGCTCGTTTCATATTTTCTTGCCAGGCATAAATGTGCCATGGGATGCAAGCCCTTGATAACATTAAAGCATTGTGGATGGCCAGTGCTGTAACCTTAATAAAGCAAGAGTAAATTAAACAAAGAATGTACCATCCAGTCCAAAACTTTTTGTTACTAATTTAATCTGTCAAAACTTTTGAGTAAATCAGCTCCAGAAGAGTGAAGTTATACTGATTTTATGTTTCATGCCCTGTGAGCTACTGTTTTTGACTCTGGATCAGAGGTCCTAAATCCAGATTTATGCTATAACATTCCTCAGCTCTCCTTAAGGAACTGGAGAATCTGAGCAAACCAGCCATATTCCCGCCTGTAAAAGGAAAGGGAAACTTGTCCGAGGCAATCTTTGGAAGAAAGAGGCTCTAGCTACCTGTAAATTGACAGAAATGGAGATAATAAAAATTGGGAAGAAATTAGAAAGGCTCAAAATAAGACTCTTGAATGACTTAAGAGTTCTCTGCCCAGTCTTTAAGAACTGAGATATTTGAAAACATCTGCAACATAAGTGATAGGTTTAAACCACTCTAAATCACAATCAAAATCTTGGCCTGACAGTAGTAGCCTCGATTTAGTGTATTATCATAACGCAATGAAACAAATTCAGTAATATTTCCCATTATTAACAATAAATAATGGTTTACTTAAAACCAAAGTTTTTAAAACAAAATTCAGGGCAGTTGAAACATATTGCCCTTACAGAGCAGTCTATATCCTGCAAATGAATGAGATTTTGGAGTCATCATGCTAGATGAATTAAAGTAAGTATTGCTTTTGTATATATTGTGTATGACACACAAACATATGTTTGAATATAAATGTGTGCGCATGTTTATATATATACTTATGTGCACATAAGAGATTAAATTTGTACTGCTGAACACTTTGCTGAACTGTGGCACAGTAGTATTTCTGTAACTATTTGTGATTATTCAGCAATAATGTTAACACCCTTCATTACAAGGGTTTTAATTTTCTATATTTTTCTGAACATTCACTCTATCACAGAAGTTCAGAATACCTCTAAATACCTCACTTTGCTCAGTTATACATGTTAGGTTATTCCACATCTAGCAGAATTACATAATTACATGATAGTTGGACTTCGTGCAGGTGCCCAGGCGCTGGCAGGGGGCTGCAGGGCGGCCTCTGTGAGGAGAGGCTGGGGCTGGCCCGAGCCGGACACAGCCGGTTCCAGCCGGCTCTGACTGACCCCCCGCAGGGCACGGCTCAGCCCCGCGGCCACCACGGCGGAGCCGCAGGGAAAGCCTGTGTAAGAAAGGGCAAAACGCTGCCCGGCTGTGAGGGGAAAAGTGTGAGAAACAACCCTGCGGGCACAGAGGGGAAAGGGGGAGGAGAGGAGGAGGTGCTCCAGTCCCCCCAGCAGGGATCCCCTGCAGCCCCTGGAGAGACCACGCTGGAGCAGGTACCCACACTGCAGCCATGGAGGATCTCACCTCACACTGGAACAGGTGGATGTTTCATGAAGGAACTGACATCTGTGGAGAGCCCAGGCTGAAGCAGGTTTATCCTGAAGGACCGTAACCCATGGGAAGGATCCACACCAGAGCAGGGGAAGACTGTGAGGAGGAAGGAGCAGCAGAATGGAGCTGTTATGGACTGACTGCAACCCCCCAAAGTCCCCATCCCCCTGCACCACTTGGAAATGGCAATAAACTAAACTATTTTTCCCCCAGCTGAGTGCATTTTGCCTGTGATTGATGGCAATTGGTGAGTGATCTCGCTGTCTTATCTTAACCTATGATCTTTCCTTTCCTATTTTCTCCCCCAGTCCTGTGGAAGGGGAGTGAGGAAGTGGTTGGGTGGGCATCTGGCAGCCAGACAAGGTTAACTCACTGCAATTGTCCATGCTGCAGGAAACAATACTAGTTTGTTCCTATCTTATTCCTAATCAGACATTTTCTGTCACAAATTTGAGGAGTTTTGTGCAGATGAACTTTGCATTCCTCTGTCTTATTTTGCATAATTTAACTATTTGTATCATTGACATTGTATATCACTAGTTAAAAGATAAACACTATTACCCAAAGATGTCACTGCATTTTAAATTCTGATTTATGCCCTAATGGTGAAGTGATTAACCAGAGAAGTAAAAGTTGTGGGCATTTACAGTTCAGTTGTTTTCTTTTACTAGCACCTTGCATGTGATTGTCAAGTTGTATATTGCGCTCATATGCATTGATTACAGTCTGGCCAAGGACATAACTTAACACGGGTAGTCTCCAGCTGGAGTTGTGACTCCTACAAATGAATTCAATTGCTAAACAATTCTAGTTGGCAACAAGGTCATGGTAGCAATAATTAATAGGCAAGCCCTGGACACTGAGCTGATAGTAATTAAATGAGCTCTTTCATTAGTTTGTTTGTAACATATTGTAGTCTGTAGTACTATAAGCTGGTTAAAAAAGAATATGAGAACCCATGATTTCACATATTCATTTGTAAATCTTCAAAATGAGGGGGGAAGACTTCAACACTGTGCCAATGCTAGCTTACTATTAATCATGAATTACAGAAGCAGAACAGTTTATGCTGGAAGTGACCTATGACGGTCATCTTGTCCAACCTCCTGCTCAAGCCAGGGCTAACTGAAATTAGATCAGGCTGTTCAGGGCCATGTCCAGGCAAGACCTGAATAACTCCAAGGTGGAAGACTCCAGAACTGCTCTGGAAAAAACACCTGTGCCAGCATTGACTACCTGCATAGTGATTTTTTTTTTTTCCTTATATCTTACTGGAATTTCAGTTGCTGCAATTTGTGTTTAGTGGCTCTTGGGCTTTCACTATGCAATTCTGAGAAGAGTCTGGCTCCATCTTCTCTACAGTCATCCCTTAGGTAGCTGAAGGCAGCAATTAGACACCCCTAACAGCTTGTCAGCCCCCAGCCAGTACTGGTACATAGGGTTATTCCATCCCAGATTCAGGACTTTGTATTTGCTGAACTTGGTTGAACTTTATGAGGTTTCTGTCAGGCCATTTCTATGTCTCTTAATGACAAGTACATCCTGTAACTACAAACTTCCCTCTAGCCATTGACTGCACTTGCTTCGACTCTTTTATTCCTCATTTAGTTACTTGTCTTCCTGTTCATTCTCCTTCTGCAGTCTTAGCTGTATACTTTTTCTTTTGATTATAATTCTAAAGTTTATTTTTCACTTCCATTTACTCTATAGACTGATAGGACTCTTGAAAGTTGGATTTGGTTGGTTTGTTACATGAGTAAACTGATGAAATGGCGGCATCCATTCAGGAAAAGAGTGAACATTAACCTATGTTACTACCAGATTAGAGAGAATTTCCATCTACTGTGAGTTGTGAGTATTCACAGGTCATGAACAGCCTGCAGCACAGAAATTATTCGCTGGAGAAAATAATATAAAATTAAAAATAATAAACCAGATTACTCAATTCTATTGGCAAAAAATTTGCAAATAGGAAACTAATGAAATCCGTTGCATATTATTTTCTAAGCTCTAGTTTTATGATACAGCTTGTGAACTGTATGATTAAACAATTATACCATGATTTAAAAATAGTTTAAATGGTACGAAGGCAAATACTCTATTAATGTGTTCAGAACAGGAGAAACATGGCAACTTATTTAAATATTGATAATTGATTTTTTTTGAATTATTATTATTATAGTCATACTAGTGAAATATGAGAGTAGACCATTTTTAAAGAAATAGGTCATTGCCATGATAGAAGCCTGAAAGATTCACAATTTAGTTTGTTTGTATTGCATCTACAACTGCAGCTCCACAGGTTTTGTACCCTTATTAGGCTGCTTTTATTTTATTGTTCAATCAGTCTCCAGCACAGGGTGAAAAGAGTGCTAACATAGAAAGGATGTTGTGTTCAGATAATTCCTCTAATACCCAGTCTATGACAAACATATTTAAAGCCTGACATCCCATTAATAGCTAGCTATCTGTGGGAAAATGTTTTGGTTACCCACACAGACTTGCCCTCCCCTATCAAAATGAAATGAAAATCAGCTTTATGTCAGCTGTTTTCAGAAGTCTAAATGGTTTGTCCCTTTTGCTATGCAGACTTCCATAGAGGGAGGCAAAAAATAAATCAATGGATCTCCATTGAAAGTGCAGAAACAGACTATAAGCTTATTTTTACTATTACATCATAAAAAGAAGTTTAACAGGATGCTCATACAGAAGTACAACTTCTCATGCCATATTTAAAAAATCCAAACCCTACATGTTGATTACTTTTCACTCTTCCAACTGCCTGTATTGAGGATGAGTAGTAGTCAGCCAGC